GACCTAGGGAGAATTACAAAGCTTGGGATCATAACTCGGCATTTATTCTTTTTTTCCCTTCAGGCTTTGAACCAGAAACATACTGGGATCGAATGCACCTTTTCCAGGAAGCCATTGCACACAGGTTTGTCCCTTAGCAAAAGGGAATGGTGGGAAGGCATCAGTATTTGTCTTGAATAGCAGTTACCAAAGCAAAACCCGGTTTGTTTCATCTCTGGAGAAATGGATCTAGTCCACCAATGACACATAAACTGCTTATCTCTGATGAGACCCTTTGCCTTGGTTTCAAAGATAAGCACTACCTCTCCATTTCCTGTAGCTGTTGTTTTTCAAACCTCAATTCCTTCTTTGTCCAGTTGAGGAGAGAGCATAGAGCTCCCTCCTTAGCTTCCAAGACCCTGAGCCAAGCTATCCCGCAGATGACATGAGACAAAAAACTGTAAAATTTGTCAAGAGCCCCTTGACAAATGTTGAAAAGACAATAAATACTTAAAAAGCAATAGATGAGTCAGTAGATACCCACTGGCACCTAGTGTGTGCGCCAGGGAAAACCTTTCCAAGGCTTAGCTCCCTACCCTTCAGGCCAGTACAGCTTGGTCTCCAGAACATCACTAACTCAGCGTCCACTTGCTGCTTCTCGTGAACCATGGTGAAAACAAAGCCTTTGTTCTGGCTTCACCTCCTCTCCTGCACCTTCTTGAGTGTCATATCATCTCATTCAAGTGTCTTCAACTGTTAGCACCCCCACCATCCCACACAGCCTCAGGATGAAGTCCAGACTCTTCAGCCTCCCCTCACGCAAGTGATCCCCACCCTGCCTTAGACCTTATTCTGCCCTTTTCTTCATAGAAAGCTACGACCTAGCTTCCATGCTTAGTAAAAGCTGTGGGGTGAATGCCAGGGCTGCTAGTTTCCTCCTTCCAGTAGGAGAAGGTGCTGATTCAGGGCAGAAGATGGGGAGTGTAGTGGTTGGCAGAAACGGGCAATGATGTGGGCAGCAGAGAGGCCTGATTCGCCTCTGCCTCCACCAGCGTCTGGCTGGGGACGCATCAGTAAGTCCTGGAACTGCTCCACCTTTGTTTTCTCACCTCTTGTAGGGGTTTTGGGAGGGTTCTCTGATGTTCCTGGCACCTTGTAAGCCCTCAGTAGACAGTAATTATTAGGAAGACCCCAGCCAACTGACGAGTTCGTAGGCGGGTCTGACACTGCTTACCTCATACGCCATTGAGCAGTTCTTGTACCTTGCTGGCTGGATATCACTCAGAACATGACCTGTAGTTGTCAAATCTGCTTTTTTCTTCACAGCATCCTCTTCCTGATCCACCTCAGTCCAGATCCCAGTCATGTCTTCTCTAAAATATTGCCCTTTCCTCTTCAGCCTGCTTTTCCACCTTTGATTTCCTCGCGTCTTCTGTCCAGTCCCCATGGATCACTGCACAGGGCTCTGCTGTGTGTCCCTTCGCTTAAACCTGCTCCTGCCTCCCCACCCAGCCCCCTCCCACTTCCCCACTTAAACCCCTTCCCCCACCTTCCCCCTAAGCGCCCACTCCCTTCTACACCTGTCAGTCTTGCTCCACTGGGATTCCCAGGTCCCTCCAGTCTGAATCCCTCCTTCCTTTTTTCCCACTGCACTCTGTCCATCTGTTACACTAGTTTAGGGGCTCCTGGAGGACAAGGGTATGCGTTTTTCTCATTTTTGTTTCCTTCCACAAGGCCTAGTAAAGTGCCTTGTCTGGAAGAGTTGTTCAATATGTAGCTTTTGCATAGAGTGGACTCCAGGTGGGAATGTGACTCTGAAATGAAACATTAGGCTGCCCATAAGATCCATCTAGGAAAGAGTTAGAAAAGTATGCAGCTTCCCTGGACCCCTCTGCCATGGCTTCCCAGCTCCTCCTCCATCTTTGGGCAGTTGGCATGAGATTAGTACATCCCATCCCGGGGACTGGAGCCCCCCTACCCCCACTGCAATCCTGGCTCATGTGCTCCCTGAGTGGACAGTGAGGGGGCCAAGAACCATGTGGTTAAATTGCCTTTTTAAGAATAAAAGCCTTTCCTGGTGACTTCAGGAAGGAAGGAAGCAAGAATCTGGCCAGGCTAATCCATGCTGAGTACATAAATAGCCTTGACTGGAAGGTAGAGGGGAAGAAAGGCAAAATCCAGAGCCGTTCCCACACATGATAGAATCAGTCTATAGATGACGGAGCTTGTAGTGCCTCTTAGCCTTCCATTTAATTTGCATATCTGACTTCATGTCTTCTCCAGTAAATAATTATCGAATGCCAGTGTAAAGCCAGCAGCTTTTATAGAGGATGCCACACAGCACCTCCCTGAGGAACTCAGTCCAGGAAAGGAGACAGGCATTTTACCTCCTTTAGTTCTGCCTCCATCCCTGCCTTCATTACATAAGCCCCTCAGACTCAGGGCAGGAGCCACATCTGTTAACACGTCCTTTGCAGCACTTAGCAGGTAGAGCTGTAATAAATGTGCCTTATGGAAATAGAAAAACCAGGAATAGAACAAGCCGTAGACGAGAAGTGGAATGGAACAAGCCATAGATGAAAAATGGCTCCTCCTGCCCATTTCCAGAACACGGTGAAGCGGAGAGCCCCAGACTGGTGTTCCTCACTTTTAAGAAAAGGATTTCAATTAAGATACATTCCATTTCAATTCAAAGCCTTTATTGAGAATCTACTTTGTGATTAGTGTGGGAGAACAGTGAGGAGGGAGAGGGGTGGCCAAGGTGAATTAAGATGAGGACCCTTCCCTGGAGGAGTTGACAGCCTCAAGTATGGGGGTGGGCACGGTGGGAGGGTCTGATGGGATGGCTAGGGGGGCGCAGGAGGGAGGGGGTGGTGAGGCAGAGATGAAGGCTAGATAAGGAAGGGGACAGCAGGTGAGAGGGCTGTTGGCCACTGTGGAGATGAACGGAGGCTGCGGGGCTGGGAGGTGGTGGGGGTGGAGATCTGATGAGCCATTAAAGGGGTGGCTGGAAGTGGTGAGGGTGAAAATAAGCAGCCTGCTTGTTCCATCTTGAAAGAGAGCTTTCCAGATCCCTTTAGCCCAGGCCTTCAGAGAGTCCGGTTAGCCACGTTCCCCTGTTGCTTTAGCTAGGGAGGCCCTAATCAGTGTGTCTTCCTGTCCTTACCTTAGGTTTGGGTTTGTGCAAGATAAATATTCTGCCTCTGCTTTTAATTTCCCCGCTGAGAACAAGCCTCAATACATCCACGTTACAGGTGAGGTGCTCGGGGCAAAACACGGCCAGGTGGGCCCCTGGGGCAGGAACGTGAACCCTGAGAGGGGCCTAGCCTGTGCACAGGGGTTCTGCCTGTGCACTGAGCCTATGGTGGCAGAACCTGGTGGTTGCGAACCAGTCCTCTTTCTCTTCAGGAACGGTGTTCCTACAGCTGCCCTACTCCAAGCGCAAGTTCTCAGGGCAGCAGCGGCGGCGGCGGAACTCCACTAGCTCCACCAACCAGAACATGTTCTGCGAGGAGCGGGTGGGCTACAACTGGGCCTACAACACCATGCTGACCAAGACGTGGCGCTCCAGCGCCACGGGGGACGAGAAGTTTGCTGATCGGCTCCTGAAGGACTTCACGGACTTCTGCATCAACCGCGACAACCGCCTGGTCACATTCTGGACGGGTTGCCTGGAGAAGATGCATGCTAGCGCCCCATGAGGCCAGGCTGCGCTGGGGTCAGAGGATAGGGCGATCTGGTCTTGCTATTGATATTCAATAGGATCAGTCAGGCTCTGGGCACCAGAGGTCAGTTTGCCACTGTGGGTGGGTGGGGGCCATGGCCAGTGCTTCTTTCCCCCACAAGTGTTCTTCCACTCAAAGAGAAAGTCTTTGGAAGCAGCTAGTGCTGAGAGCAGGTGGGAGGCCCAGATGGTCCGAGGGAGGGCTTCAGTGCTGGGGAAAGGGGCAGGCAGCCCCCAAGAATGTCCTCAGAGAGGGGGTGGCTCCTGTAAGCGTCCTTTTCCTCCACCATCCGTGGGCCATTCGGAGCAGAATCTGCCGCTCCCTGCCCAGAAGTGTGCAGAGGATGTAAGATAATTTTGTGAAATAGTGTACCATAGGCTCACACCAACTGTATATACCTGTACATATCAGAAGCAGGAATAAAGTGCCACGTGCAGCATCTCCGTCCCCAGCCTGGTTCCCAGCAGCAGCAGTCCTGTCCTCGGCTGGGCAATCGTGCCCCATCACGGGGGCCTCAGTGGCCAATGAGGCAACCACAGACAGTGAGGAGGACTTTAGAATTCACTGTCTTGGAGAGTCTGGCTGTGAGAAAGATGTCTTTTCAAGGCCCTTGGGCAGGAGCAAGGATAGTTTCGGTCAGGCCTAGTGAGCAGACGGTACAGCATACCAGGAACTTGCAGGCTTGTGCTGTTGGAGGTGAATCTTGGTAAGTGGGTGAGCCAAGCTGTGGCACGCAGATGTCATGGCGTTCTGAAAAAAGTCAAAGGAAAGCCTCTGTTGACCCCTCTAATTGAGGCTTAGCAACCATCGCTCAATAGGATAAGACTTAGCATGGTGCCTTAACCTCAGTGCCCTGCACTAACCTGCTGGTGGGGGGTGAGGGGCTATGGACCAGAGTGGGGACCTGACAGGTACTGCCACTTCCCCCTCCATCTCTCCACATGGAGTTAATCACAAGCCCTGGTGATTTACTTCCTCAGTAGTTTGCGAATCCACCAACTTCTTCCTAGGCCCTCTGCTGCCACTGTCAGCCCAGCCCTCCTTCATCTTGTCTTCCTCTTGCATGGCTAGGAGGGCCTCCTAACTCGTCTATGCTTTCACTCTAGGCCATTCACCACTTGGCAGGGTTTTGTTTTTTTGTTTTTGGGTTTTTTGGTGAGGAAGATTGGTCCTGGGCTAACATCTGATGCCAGTCTTCTTTTTGCTTGAGGAAGATTAGCCCTGAGCTAACATCCATGCCAGTCTTCTTGTATTTTGTATGTGGGACACTGCCAGAGCATGGTTTTGAGTGGTGTGTAGGTCCATGCCTGGGATCTGAACCCATGAACCCTGGGCCACTGAAATGGAGTGTGTGAAATTAACCACAATGGGCCAGCCCCTGCTAGAGTCTTTTTAAAAAACCACTCTGATTGTGCCTACCACTCTTTAGACGTCTGGTGACTTGAACTTCTCAAATTCTGGACACAGCCCATGTGGTCCTGCACGATCTGGCCCCAAGCCATTTCTCCAGCCACCTGGAATATCACAAACTCTTGCAGCTCAGATCCTTTGCATTCACTGTTCCATCTGCCTAGAATACTCCTCCTCTCCACGCCCTCTCTGCCTTGCCAACTCCTGGGCATTATCCGTCAGCTCCTTGCTCGTGTGTCGCTTCTCCAGGGAACCGCAGCAGGATTCCCTGTAGATTTTCACATAGCACCTTGTACTTCAACAACAGCACCTGGCACCTTTACACTCCAGCATGGCGGAAGCTTGCTTATTTTGTTCATCTCTTTGTTCTTAAATGTGCAGCATAATAGTAGATGATGGAGAAATGGTTGTTGGTTGAATGTGTGGATTGAATGAATGAGCTCTGGACTCAAGAGCCGAGCACTGGGCGTTGGCATCTGAGTCTCCCCCTCACTGAGTTCCTAAGTTACCTAATGGAGCCAGTTTCCTCATCTGTAAATGCAGCATGTAGAGATTTTGAGGGAAAAGGTCTGTTGATATATGTGAAAGCGCACTGATTGATTGCTGGTGTGGAGCAGGTCCTTGATAAAAATCCATTTTCTTTTCATTTTTCACGTTCTCTTCCTTCGCACAAACCTTTGCTCCTTCTAGGCATCAGCGTCCTTCATTTATAAAATGGGAGGCTGTCTCCCAGGGTGGTTGGAGGATCAAAAGACAGATGTATGTGAAAGAACTTACTAACGAGCAGGCAGCAAATACATCTAGGCTGCTCTTACCTCCCCGGGTGGGAGTGCTCTTCACTGTGCTGCTGAGCCAGCTTCCCGAGCGATTGTGCTGGACATAGCAGGTGCTGGCCTGTTCAGGTCAGATCATGTAACACAGTCTTTTGTGATCTTTAGTATCCTTCGTGTAAGGCTAGCAGTCGCCCCTGCTTTTTGCCCTCATATCTCTTCCGAAGATGACCCGGGAGAAGAAGGCCCAGAGAATGATTTGGTGAAAGAAGAGGTGCTGACAAGTTAGAACGCTGGGTCGCTCACCCTTCAGAGCTGGGCATGAAACACATGTGCCCTTGAGCCCCAGTTCCCCCACCAGTTGCTCCCCCTCATGCTTCCTGTCTCTGACCAGCACATCCTTCCACCCACTTGTCCAACCAGAATCCGGGAGTGGGACTCAGTCCTCCCCCAACTGCATCATCATCCAGTCCTCCCACCTGTCCCTCCCACCTGCACACCTCCCTCCATCCCTGCTGTCCATGTGCAGAGCCCGGCCCGCAGGGAGCGTGTGGTTTGGTTGGATATAAAGGACGTGTGTGTGCAGGTTGGAAGCCCCCCACCAGGTGTATAGATGTCAATCACCATTCCTTGTTGGAGAGAGAAAGGCAGGAAGCTTGGGGCCAAGAAGACCTGGGTTCAAATTCTAGCTCTGCCATTTCTCAGCTGTGAGATCTAGGAATGTTCTGTCTCCTGAGCCTAGTTCCTCACCTGTTAAATAGAGATGACATGGCCTCACCTTTCTACCCAACCGCCATACACACACACTCCCCTACCTGTCTGAGTATTGCTCTTCTGTGCTTGTGACTTCGTAATTATTTGCTGACCCGTTTCAGCTCATTAGGCTGAGAATTTCTCCTGGCACACTCTTCAGTCATTGAGAGTTGCATGAGTGAGCCATTGAGATCAAGGGAGCAGGTGCAGGTGGCAGGGCCCCTCACAGAGCCCAGCATGTAAGAGGGACACACAAACTGTAAGAAAGACCTCGATGGGATCACCAGCCTGGGCCCCTAAACTGAGTCATGGAAGGCACTTAATTCATATTGAGAAATAAGGCCATTAAGGCCCAGACACTTGCCTGACATGCCTGGGGTCACCCCAGTGCAGGTAGAGATGAGGATGGTCTGGTAAGACAAGAGCCTTAGAACAGAGGAATTCTTAGAGATTGCTCCAATGCCTACATTTTCTCCCAGATAAGCAAACAGGATGCAGGTCTTCTGACTCCCAGCCCAGTGCCTTTCTGGGCATTTGGTTGCAGTCAGCGTGGTGGTTAAGAAGGTAGGCTTGGGAGGCAGGTGGCTGTGTTCAGAGTCCTGCAGGGTTGCTTGCCAGCATGTCACCCTGACTAAGTTACTGCACCTTTCAGAGACTTGGTTTTTTCATCTGTAAAATGAGACGATAATACCACCTTATAGGGTCATGAAAATCGCGTGAGAGAATGTGGGTAAAGAGCTAAGACAGTGCCTGGGAGATTGTGATCTCCTCCCTAAACATCAGCTGTTATGATGATGATTATTGCCGCAGACTCTGTGAGCCCCAAGAATTTAGAGAAGGGAACAACCACAGGGGCCAGAGTGGACAGGGTAGTCTTTAAAAAGGAAGTAGCCTTGGGCCTTGTAGGATGTGTAGGAATCAGAGTGGTCAAGAGGTGGAACCCAGTGTCCCCACTTGTGCCAGAGGGCCACACTCCTCTAACTAGCTGCTTTGACCATTCTGCCTTATTTGGGTCCCAGGAACCTCTGCTGAGAAGTTTTTTCTGTTGGCAGAGGTGCCACGAGTTGCCAAGAGGAAGAGGGCCCCCTGACCACGCTGCCCTGGCTCCCGCCTGTTGTGAATAATGTTGCCTGAGGTGGGGCAGCTCTGCAGACATTTCTTAGCTTCATGGTTGTGCTGGGGGGAGGAAGGGGGGGGGGGCATGTGTGCACACAGGCCGCGGAACACCTGGGGCAGCACCAGTTGGCCTACTGGAGTTAGAAATGAGTTTAGGGTGAGGATCCACACAAAATGTGGGATGCAGAAAACGTGACAGGAAAATAAACTGGAAATAAGCCAAAAAGGCTTCAAGGCAGAAGTAGCTGTCTTAGTCCCTACCTGTGGTTCTCCAGTGCTCCTTTGCCTAAGAGATCATATAAATCACAGATGCCAGAGCCTCCTGAAGATTCTGATTTAGGAGGGCTGGAGCTCTGCACTGTAAACAGACACTCGGAGTGATTCTGCCTCAGTGGTCCCTTTGATAAACCCTGCCCCAGATTCCTTTTCTAGGCTTCTTCCTGCTTACTTTACATGCAGCTCTAACCAGCCTGGAAATCTGATTCTCAGACCAAGCAGATTAGAAGCCGCACACTGGAAGGCAACAGGGTAGAGGCAGAGAACTTAACAGAAGGTGAGATGACAGCTAACAGCACGATGGCAGACAGCTACAAGGACCTCCCAAGGCACAGGAACACAAGAGGTACGGGACTGCCAGAGGTTGCGCAGCTGGGCCAGGAACTGCTAAGTGCTACATTGGATAGGCCCAGAAGCCCATATCCCATTTGTGGCAAGAGACCCATCAAAATGGAAACTTTGGGTATTGGAAGGAAGAAGTATGTGATATATATGCGTGAGGCACTAAGGAAATCGGTGAGGCTTTGCTAAAGTGCATAGGAAATAGTGGGAGACAAACCTGAATAGAAGCCAGTTTACAGGCCACCTCAGTTACCCAGAAAATTTCAGATCCATGAAATAATAATGGTCGCTCCCTTTCTTGAGTGTTTCCTGTGTTCTGGGCAATGAAGCCTACTTTACGTGCCTTTTCATCATGTAATCTTATCAACTGTTGTAACCAGATGAGGGGCAGAAGGCCCCAGGAGGTGGAGACCAAGGCCACACAGCTAACAGCAGGGCTGGGAATCAGGTCTGTGGGACCCCAGAGCCAAGCTGCCACCCACTGTGCTGTCCCCCTCACCTCCCGGTGGTGTTGGGTCAGTGAGGCGCCACCCACTACTCTGTCATGGGACCCTGGCTGGGAACCCTCTCTTCTTTGCAGCTGACAGTATTCCATGTATGGAGCAGCCCTGCTGGGGTGCAGATGCTGTGTAACATGTGGACGTGGCCTCTCTAGTAAGGAGCAGCAGTGACTTTAAGTGGGGGCTGGTGGCCTTTCCTCTCCCCCAGGCACCTATCTGGAAGGCACTGTGTGCTCCTTCCCTTCTGGCCTATAGCCACGGACTTCAGCCTGCAAGGCTTTAGGCAGCTCCTGGTCTTCAGGCCACACCACACACTCAGCTAAGCCTGGCCTGGAGTGCACAGGTTGTCGGGGCAAAGCAGGTGCCAAGAACTCAGTCCTACTGGCCTTTAGATTTGACCTCCATCTGGTTCTCTGGCTGCAGCAAGATTCATCTGTTTCCTCAGTGAATCAGCATATAGTCCTTCCAAGAAGAAAATCTCTTTCCCCATGAGGGGAAGAGGAGACGGAGGTGCTGTGTGATCCCCAGCAAACCCCTGTCTCTGAGCCTGGTATTTTCATCTGAACTCATCTGGCAATGAATCTGGGAGAAACCTTGAGGGCCACAAGATTTCAGACCTTTTCCCCTCCTCAACCAACGGGAAAGCTGGGTACTGAGAAGGAATGTGAGTCCCTGTCAGTCCCTCAGGCAGCTCGTGGCAGTTGTGACTGGAACCGAGTCTCTTACCTCCTCTCTGTGCTCTTTGAATTGTATCACATTGCTTATCCAGGCTCCACTTCCCACCCCCTCCTTTAATCCACAATTGTCTCTTAAGAGACAGAAAATTTTATTTTTAAGCCTATGGGATCCTGAGAGAGAAACATTTTGCTGATGTGTTTGATACTCATCCAAAGCTCATTGCTCACATTCTGGGCCCTCCTCCCCAGTCTGAGAGCATCCGGTAGGCGTGATTGGATGCTGTCTTGGGAAAGGGGCCCCTTTTCAAGGCGAAATGCCTTGCCTCTCCTCAAGCTCTGTGTCCTCAGAACCTGAATAGACACAAGCTTGAGAGGGTGGGCAGGGCTCTGTCAGAGGCAAGCCCATGAGACTTGTCCGGACGCTGTCTCAAAACCCCCACCCTTCTTCCAGACCCTTGGATACACTGCTGGAGAGCCAGGAGCCAGCTGAGGGTTCTCAACTGGGGGTGATTTTGGTCCCCAAGGGACATTTGGCAATGTCCAGAGACACTTTTGGTTGTCACAACTGCAGGAGGTGCTACTGGCATCTAATGAGTGCTTCTAAACACCCTACAATGCACAGGATGGCCCGTACAACAAAGAATTATTGAGCCCCAAATGTTAATAGTGTTGAGATTGAGACACCCTGAGTTAGATTCTGATCAGGTAAGAGGTCCAGATGGGTGACTCCTCCCTCCTATGGCTTTGGAGGAAGAGGGACCTGCCACTTGGCCCTGACTGTGGAGATCTGAATCCTTTATTGATGGCAGCCCCATTCCCAATCTCCTGTAGTGATCACTCTTGCTGGGTTCCAAGGCCAGGCTGGCTAAGAGACCTCCTTAGGGCCACACAACAAGTTATGGACAGAACCAGGATTAGAATCCTGGTTGTATTTAGCGTTCACGTGCTATGGCCTCGCTCTTGTGTTTCTCTCTCCTTGTACATTTACCTTACAGAGAGCTTAGCTCTCCAACTGTATATAAGCTCCTTGAGGGCAGAGAGCACATCTTGCTCATCCTCGTTTCCTCCCCTCAAGTGCCCATCACACATAGGTGCTCATTTAGAGTTGGTTGAATTCATTCATTCAGCTAACATTTATGCAAGGCTGAACCAATTCGGGCCCTGCTTTCTTGGTGGAGGGACAGACGTGTAAAGCACTACGGAAATAGAAGAGGGGGCTTGATTCTACATAGGGGAGCAGGGGAAGGCTGGAGAAAGGGGCATTTGGGCCAGGATTTGAAGGCTGTGTAAGAGTTCTGCCTGGTGAGGAGGATGGGGTGGGGAAGGGGCTTCTGGAGGGCTGGAGGGCTCCGGCACCAGATCAAGCAGGAGAAGGTGACAGCCTGAAAACTTGGGGGAGAAAACTGGGGAGAGATTTCTACACATCTGGCCCACTCAACCCACACTTCCAACTGATTTCCAGAGGAGGTGACTGTTGCCAAGTTTCAGGGTGCAAACCTGAGTACCAGATGGCTCATTTAGTCTGGAAGCACTGAGCCAGCATGGGCCCTGGGTTCACACCACAGAGGCAGGGGTGGGGTTGGGGGGTGACCTTGCTCACCTGTCTGGCTTTGTTCATCCTGGCCTTGGATCTGGGTAGAACACAACCTTTAAACACACCTGGTCTGAGGTGGTGGCTGGCATCTCAGACGGGGCAGGTTTCTTTAGGGAGCCGGAAACCCTGCTTCCTGGTTGGCCCTGCTATTTCTTCCCTGTGTCACCCTGCCCAAGCTCCCAAGACCATGCTGAGCCTTGGGAGATGGTGTGCAAACCCATGACATAAGGGCTGTGAAACATTTGTGCCCCTGCACCTCCCTGAGGTGGTGGCACTGCTCTTCTTGTCTGACTCTAGTGCCAGCTCCCTGTGTGATCCTGAGCAAGTCTGTTCACCTCCCTGGACCTCGAGTTTTGGGGTGGGGTGATGACGGTGTCTCTCTGCTTTCTTCAAGGGGCCGCAGTGAGGATTTGATGCCGTCGGCTTTGCAAAGGTGTCTGTGTGGCACAAAATAAGGCAGCACTGTCAACACTTCCCTAATGGAGGCCATTCAAACATTGTTTCGAATGTGCCTGGCAGGTCCACCAAGAACCTGGTGCACCACCAGCTAGTCTGAAGCTTGAGAAAAGACGGGAAAAAGGGAAGAAAGGTAATAGCAAGAGCTGACTTCTATATTGAACCCCAACCAAGTGTGCTCCCATCATCCCAGTGCTCGAGCCTGAGGACAGCCCCAAGGGAGGCTGGCGAATGGTGGTACCCCGACTTCTCAGAGGAGAAACCAAGTCCAGGGAAGTAGAGGCACTTACCCAGGGTTACTGAGCACCCATGTTGCAGAGGAAGGATTGAACTTCACCCCCAGGGCTCTTCCCTATAGAAAGGGATGGGGCGTGGGAGAAAGAAGCCCACTGAGAGTGGCTTCCATGGTGGGGCAGCCGCATCCGGAAGGAGGGAGGGCAAGGCGTGGGGCCTGGGCTCCCTGCACGGCGATGAAGGCCATGTTCCCAGGCTCTCCAGTGCCTGATCACCGCACTGGCCACCGTTGGTGGTTGGCGCTAGGACAGGAGCACTGCCTGGGTGGTCTAACACACAGGATGTGTCTCGCCTTAAAGCAGAAGTGAAACAGGGCACACTTCCCCTTGTGAGACAAGAGGCAAGTCTGACCACCCCCTTGCTACTGTCTCCTGCAGGAACCAGGAGGCTGGCTGCCACTGCTGGGGTCTGAGATTCGGGTTGACAAAGAGAAGCCAGGCTGGTCTGGGGACCTAACTTATGCAGGGAGTCGGGTGTCCACCTCCCACTGCACACAATCTTGGGATCTCTTGCCACATACCTCCTTAGGCAGCGTCCATGTGATTAGAAGGCTTTATGATTTAGACTCTAAGGGAGATGGCCCTTTATATAAGTCCCTGTCTCCCGCAGAATTGCGGCCAACCTGTTGCTGCAAGATGGAGGTTCATTTGTGGTTTAGCCACTCATTTGTTGTGCAGGTGTTCGGTCCTTGTTCTCCCCTCAACAAGTATATTAAGAACCATTAATGTACCAGGCATTGTGCTGATATAGCGGGAGAAGGATGGTAAACAAAACATTACACAAATCACTATTGTTACGGTTGTGACAAGTGCTCCAAAAGTCAAGGAGAGGTCGCTGTGAAAGGTTTGATGGGGCCCCAACCTAGACTAGGAGTCAGGGAAGGCTTCCTCGGCATTTCTGTGGAGACCTGACGGATGGCAGGGCTTGCAAAGGGCAGAGAAGGGTGGGGAGGAGCTCCTGGCTGCAAAGACTCTGAGACTCTGAGATGGAAAGAAGCCTGGTGGGCCCGAGGGAGAGTGAGGGGGCTGGTATAGCTGGAGAAGGAAGCAGAGACCAGATCACGCAGGGCCTTGCATGGGTCCTGTCTGTCTGACGCGTCATCAAGAGGAGCGTCTGGAAGGCTGGTTGATCTTGGGCAAGGCTTTCTCTTCTCTCAGCCACAGTTTCCTCATCTTTTCAATAGGAATGTGTCTGCTGTCCTTGCAGTGTTGTTGAAGAGCCCTTAGGTAAAGCACTTAGTACGATGTCTGGCACAGTGGAGGGGCCTGATAAGTGGAGACATTAATCTAACTGTTGTGACAGTGCGGAGCCAGGAATCCAGGCTCCTGCCCAGCTCTCCCTCCAGCGGCTGCCGCTGCAGTTCCTGCCTCCCCCAGGGCTGCTTCTGGGAGACGTGGAGCCGGGAGCCGCCATCAGGGCTGAACACATTGGCCTGAGCTCCAACCTGCTCTCTACTGAAGCGTTTCCCTGCTGTCATATCACTGCCCTTTGCCAGCCTAGGTTAATGCAACCTGGGAAAAGGCTCCAGTCTACAGCGATGGTCAGCCCTGGAAGCGGGTGCTCCTCTCCCTCCTCCCATCCCCCGAATTCCCCCAGGCTCTGGCTAGTCAGTCAGTCTTTGCAGACGCCTGATTCCTGCTATGGCAGCCATGTGCCATGCAGGTGAGGGGCAGAGGTGGCACTGAGCTGGCAGCCCCAGGGTTGACCGGCAGCAGGACTGCATTACTCTGCAAGGATAGAGCCACCCTGGAATCCCTGTCTTCTGATTCAGGGAAGCAATCTTCCTACAGGAGAGAGGAACTGGCACTGACGGCGGGCGTGCCTGGAGCTGTGTGGGGTGCTTTGCGTGCTGCCTGCCTTCGTTCTAGCAGCACCCCTCACAGTGGACGTTATGGACCACTATTCCAGATAAGTAACTGAGGATTGGGGTCACAGAAGGTCACTCAGCTGACAAGTGGCAGAGTCCGAATTCTACGCCAGGTCATCATCACTTTGCCCTGCCCCCTGCCCCTCAGTGGTGGGCCTTTGGGCTGTGTTTTGTTGTATTTTTGTATTTCATCCAGTGCAAGCCGATTATAGAAGAAACAAGGTGGGTGAGCCTGAGCTTTGATTTCTTCATCTCGCATGTGGCCACAGGAGTGTCATAGAATGACCACACTGGAGCCACCTCAGCGATGGGTAGAGCCACCCCCCCTGGTTTACAGGAGGGAAACTGAGGTCTAGAGGTGGGGAGCAACTTGCCTGAGGTTACAAGATGGGTCAGTGGAGAGCTGGGCCAGGCCGGACTCTCCTTGGGGCCTCCTTCATTGGTCTTTCTCATCCTCCCTTGCTGGCCTCTTCACCTCTGTCCAGTTCTGCACATTGGAGGATCCCAGCCTGTCGCCCCTGGACCTCTTTTCTGCATCTCATTCCCCGGGTGACCCAGTCCCATGATTCTAATTACCATCTACATGCCCGCCCTGAGTCTCAACTTGAGACCTCTAGCCCTGACCCCGCCTTTGAACTCCAGCCCATCTGTCCAGCTGCCTTGGCCTGTCCTTAGACATCTAAGAGGCTAACAAACTGGATGTGTCTAAAACACAACTCTTGATTTAGCTGTATCCTCCCGGCTCCCACCAAGCTTGCTCCTCCCACAACTTCCCCATTTTAGTCACTGGACCATCATCTTCCCAGTTATTCAGGCTGAAAGCATTGGTGTTATCCTATATTTCCTTCCCTCAACCCCCACATCTGATCCATTAGTAAAAATATATTGCAGTCTGACCCTTCTCCCATCTCCACCGTCATCTGATGCTGCAGCAACCTAACTGGTCCTCCTGCATCCTCTTTTCCCGTCAAGAATTTATTCTTCTCACAGCAACCAACGTGCTCTCTTTTAAACAGAACAGGTTGTATCATTCCCCTGCTTGAAAACCTTTCAGTGACTTCACATCAATTCAGTATGAAATCCCAACTCCCTGCCATGGTCCACAAGGCCCTACAGGTCCTGGGCTTCTGGAAGCCTCTGTCTCCATTTTCATCTCCTCCTGCTTCCTGAGAATGATGCACTGTCTCTTCTTTTTGTTCCGTGAGCACCCCAAGGTTGCCCCTGCCTCGGGGCCTTTGCACGACTCTTCCATTTTCTTGGAACCCTCTTCCAAGATCGTGGCTCAGTTGCTTCCTCATTGTTGACATCACTTGTCACATTCCCTGAATACCCTGTCTAGAGAAGCACCACCCCTCTGCCCATCACTGTCTGTCACACTGGCATGCTCTCTCTCTCACAGCCCTTGTCGTCACCTGAAATCATCTGGGTTATTTGCCCACTTGTGGACTGTCTTTTCTCCTCACTGGAATGTAAGTTCTGGGACTGTTTTTGTCCCTGCCACGTCCTCAATACTAACAACAGTGTGCCTAGCACATGGCAGGTGCTCAATGAGTACTTGTTCACAGAACCAGCCACATGGACTAAGGGCCTAAGTTACAACTCAAGTTTATTCTAGGTTGCTGCCCCCAGACTCTCTTTTGTAGGACAGCTTTTCCCTGTCCTACGACTTCTTTAAGACAGTAATTTCTTTAAGTGCTCAGAGGTCACTCATTTATCTACCAGCTCTACCACCTACAGGCTGTGTGACCTTGGGCAAGTTACTTAATGTCTCTGTGTCTCAGTTTTGTCAGCTGTAAAATGGGGGTAATAACAGTGCCCACTTCATAGAGTAAATGTGAGAATTGAATGAATGCATAAAGAGTGCTTAAAACAGCACAGGGACACAGTGTTCAATAACGTTAGCTCTATTATTTTTATCATCGTTATCATCACCACTGTCATCATCACTGGTGTTTTTAATTGAGATATACTTGACATATAACATATTAGTTGCAGCTGTACAGCATGATTCAATATACGTATATATTGCAACATGATCAGCAAAATCTAGTTAACATCCATCACCAGTCTGACTCCTGGAAGAGGCAACTGGTGTCTCTGCCTTCACGTAATAATACTTTGTGCCACTCTGCCTGCACAGTACCCTCCAGTGGTTTTCGATTTCACTTCAGAAAAAGACCAAACCCCTTTAAGTAGCCTGTGAGCCCCACAAGCACCTCTCCAGCCTCATCCTGCATGGCTTTCCCCGTTGTTTGACCCCCTGCAGTCACACCAGCCTCATTTCAGCGTTCATGTGACTTCTGCTTGTCCCACATCAGGCACTTTGCCTGGAACTTACTCTCCCTCCACCTTTACCTGGTCAGTGCCTGCTCTTCGTCCCCATCTCAGCTAGGTCATTACCGTCTTAGCCTCCCACGACCACTCACGAGGGAAATTCCCTATTTCACACTCGGGGCAACACGTCCCTCTGTGGTAGCACGTCTCACAGTTGTGCGTTTGCTCTCTGCCTTCACTTGGATTAACATCTGCCTTCCCTGTTAGATGCTAAACTCCATGAGAACAGAGACCAACTCGTTCTTTGCTCACCTTTGTACTCCCAATGCGAGCAGTGTTTGCACAGAGTAAGTATTCAATAAATATTAAATGAGTGAGTGAATGAATGAAGGGGAGAAAGCCTTTGGGGTGGAGGGTAGCCCTTCAGATCAAGCACAGACCTGCCCCAAGTGAAAATCTGCTGCCTTTGCATAACCAACTGGCCTCCTGCTGTGAAGCCCGAACAGCTCCTGACTTCCAGCAGGTTCCACTTGCTAGCAACGTGGCATGGGCAGCCCCTGCCTGCCATGCTGCTTTCACAGGGTGCGCACAGAGCTACAAAAATGGGAAAGCCTTTGCTCGTCTAAGCCAAGATAGAAACTGGACGTGAAGCTGCAGCACAATGGAGAAGTCTGTCTCGCTTCCTGGACTCGGCTGTCTTACTGCCAGACACTCAGCTTTTCCTTCCCTCTCGAAACAAGGTGACTGTGGTGTCCTGATGGTGGACTGCTCTGTTCTGATTTAGCTGGCTGATGGTGTTTTCTTTAATTGGTTCCATCAGAGGTCCTTCAGGCTGCAGACCCGGACCAGTCACCCCCAGAGTCTGTACCAAGACATGGCAAAATGAGAAAAATAGGGACCAAATAGGGAGTTTTCCTAAAACTAAATGAATTCTCAGATTGTCTGCCCTACTTTTTTGTGTGTCAAGATGCCCTTTCTTTTATGAAACAAGGGTGATGGGAGGTGATGATAGTTTTTTTTTAATGTCCTTGTTTGTCAAATCACCTACTTAATTTTCTTTTGAAATTTACGGGTCTGTGGACAGCAGCTTAGCCAGGATGAGAACCTGGGTTTTCTAGTTCCAGGTTAGCACTCTCTGTGCTCTGCAGACCCTCCCTGGAGAGGATAAGATGTAGGGGAGACATGAGAGCTGGCTGTAAATTATTGACGGCTGCCATGTGGGAGAGGAGACACATTTGTTCTGGTTGCTTCCAGGGGGCAGAATTGGGGTCACTGGGCAGCAGTTTCAGATAGGCACATTTCAACTGGTTTAGAATAAAGTTTCTGACACGCAGGTATTCAACAATAGACCAGGCTGCCCCATCACTGGCAGTGTTCAGGTACAGGTGGAGCAGCTACATTCAGGGCTCATGGGGGAACTATTCAGGCCTGGGGGTCCCAAGAAAGGATCTTACTCTTAGATTCAACCTGGTTTCAGCACCACTTACTATCTCTGTGACCTCGGGCAAGTCAGTTTCCTCCTATTTAAAATGGGGGGTAATCCTGCCTCCCTCGGGGTTCTACGAGGATTAAAAAAAGGAGTGTGTGTACAATGCCCAGCCTACAGATAGGCCTTCTGTGACATGTGAATCCTGACCCCAGGGAACAAACTTAGAGTCTAGTAGAGAGCGAGAGACTCACAGAGAAGGGATAACATGAAGCAAATTATGAGCAAGGGCCAGCAAGGGTGGCCCAGACGTATGTGCTGGGGCTTTTCTGAGGATAGGCTATCAGGCATGGGCTGGATGATCAGGGAAGAGTTCCTGAAGGAGGTGACACGTAAACTGAACTTTGAGACACCGTCAGGCTCTGGATAAGTAGAAGGAGTGTGGAGCTTCCCAGGAGGAGAGTATACAGTGGTCTCTAGCACACAGTAGTGAGTGTTAACTGGAAGTAGCTATTGTTGTTATTTAGGTTTCAAGGGCATGGCAATCTCTCCTCGGGCTCCCACGGCACTGTGGGCACATTCCTGGCACATCAGGGATGCGTGGTGTATGGTCAATGAACAGGGGAAAGGTTGGCTAGCCACAGAACAGAGGGAGATGTGATTAAGTAAGCTGGGAAAAATGAGAGCATCCATTCGTATATCCATACACTCATCCATCTGTCCGTCCATTCATCATCCAACAATATCTGCAATATATACATACAGATACCTATGTATCCAACCGTCCCTCCCTCTACCTGTCCATCTACACTCACTCATCCACATGCCCATCCATCCATCTATACTCCATCTATCCATCCATCCAGTCATCCATCCATCTGTATATTTCAGGCAGAGAACAAGACAAAGTCTTGTGGGGCAGGGCTTACAGATGTGAATCAAATAGTTACATGAATAGGTGTAAAATTGCAACTGTGATAAGTGCTACAGATAAAAGGGCTACATGGTGCCAGGAGAGCCTGAAACAGGGTGATGTGACCTATTCAGGAGGTCGGGAAAGGCTCCCCAAGGAAGTGATCATTGAACTGAGAGCTCAAGGGTGAGTAACTAGAAGAATGAGGGGTGGGGAGAATGTTCCAGGCAGAGAGGGCAGAGCACATGCAAGGACAAAGTGAAGTTGTGGGTGTTGGCCTGACAATGCAGGGCCTTCTAGGCCTGTTAAGAATTTTGATTTTTATCCTTAGAGGTTCTAAGCAAGCATCAGGTGACATGATCAGATTTGCATTTTTAAAAGATTTTCTGGCTGTAGTTATAGAAAATGGAAGCGGGGGATGGGATGAGCAAGTGTAAAAGCAGGAGGCCTGTGAGAAGCCAATGTAGTTGTCCAGGAAATCATGATGGAACCTTGGACTGGGGAAGTGGTGGGGGAGGGGAGGAGTGGATGACTCAAGGGCCATTTAGGAGATAAATGGACATGATTGGGTGATGGGTTTGGTGGGAAGGATGAGGGCGAGGGAGTTGTTAGGATGACACCTAGGTTTCTGGATAGAACTGTTGCCAGGCAACAGAGTGAAAGCCAGGAGAGAGTGGGAAAGAGGTGGGACACACTTTCCCTTGCAGCTGTTATTATGCTTGTGTTTGCAAAATAAGGGGTGCTGGGAGTGTGGGCATGCATAGCTCCCTGATTGCCTGTCCAGGGGTGAGGAGGCTGATTTGAAGACGTTGTACATTGTGGGCTAAAAAGCTGGGCCTGAGAGCTAGGGCTTCCAGTCTTGGCTCTGCATGCACATAGCTGTTTGACCTTGAAGGGGCAGGTTCACCCCTCTGGGCCTCAGCTCTAAAACTGATGGCCCTGCTGGTCTGGCATTTTAAGAGCACAAAGCAACCTAAGTCTTATTTGTGTCCACTAGCACTATTTACAGGGCTCCCCCTTGGAAAGTTATTCCTTGTAGATCCACTTTATCTGGAGCCTGAAGGTTAAAACAGCATAAAGTCCTGAATGTGAGATCTGAAAGGAATCACAGAGCCCATTTGCCCAATCTTCTAATTTTACAGAGAGGGACAGCACCTGTGTTTGACCCTTATTTCTATCCTCCTGCACTATTCTGCACATAGGAGAAAAGATGGAGCAGTTTGTGCAAAGCCACAAAGCTGTAAGGCAGAAGAGCACCCTTTGGGGGTAAGGCTCACATTCCTTTTCTTACTCTGGGGGTTGGGATTTTTAGGCAGCCTACAGCCATTTCTTTTTTCTTTTTTTTCTTTCTGCTTTTTTTTTTTTGCCTCCAAATCCCCCAAGTACATAGTTGTATATTTTAGTTGTGGGTCCTTCTAGTTGTGGCATGTGGGACACCACCTCAGCGTGGCTTGATGAGCAGTGCCATGTCTGCGCCCAGGATCAGAACTGGCAAAACCCTGGGCCGCCAAAGTGGAGCGTGCGAACCTAACCACTTGGCCACGGGGCTGGCCCCATACAGCCATTTCTTAGGACATATGGGGCTAGGTAGAGCTCTGGGGATGGGCTAAGATCATAGACACAGGTGATGCTGAGCATCTAGTGAAAGAATGATGAAGGGGACATCTGAAGCTGTGCCCTGCTAGGCTGGGGTCCCTTCTGACTCTTTGAAGATGCCTCTTGTCATGCACCCCTGCTGTGACTCCTGAGTGTCCCCTGAGGGCTGCAAGATCCTCTTTGCAAAAAAGGAATGCAGAAAACCCAGCCTACCCCCTGCAAATGAGGCGTGAAGACAAAACACGGTTGGAACCTCGGGGCTGAGGTTTCCATGGTGGCTCCACTCTGCTGCCCTTCCCATTGGCCAGGCGTCCTGCTCCAGCTTTAGCAACAGAGGCTCAGATACCCATCTCCTTCCTGATTGGCTAGGCTGTGCTGCAGCGCCATGGCAACAGGGGCAGAGGGACCAGTTTCTGCAGAACAACTTGAGTCACCATCTACCTGGGGTGAAGCTGAGATCCAGAGGGCTGCTTGCAGGGGATGAAAAGGGGAACAGGTAGCCCCCACTTCAGCTTACAGTGGCGGGGGGGACGCTCCTCCTTGGTTGCCCAGGGGTTTGGGAGGCTGGTGGGCTTCTCCTCCTTATCTTATCTGTCCTGTAACTTACAGCATCTTCCTAGCCCTTTTCTTGCCCCAGGGCTCCTGTCTCCTGCAGAAGAAAAAACAAACCTCTGGCAGTGCTAGAGGTTAACTCATTTGCCCAAAGTCATGTAAATTGTAAGCCAGAATATTACACTGCCTACCTGAAAGGCTTTAGAAGGTCTTCTTAGAGAATCCAAGATCCTTTTTATTTTTTTAATAGACTTTATTTTTTTAGGGCAGTTTTAGGTTCACAGCAAAATAGAGCAGAAGGCTCAGTGATTTCCCATAGCCCTTTTGGTTTTAATAGCAACCCCTTTTTCAGTCATCAAACAGCTAATGCTTTCCAAAGCATTATCCTATCTGATCCTCCCAACAACCCTATGGGTTTGGTAAGTCAGGGATGAATGTGCCATTTTATAGATGAGGCCATCAAAGCCCAGAGAGGGCAAGTGATTTGTTCCGTGTCACACAGCATATTGGTGCCAGAGCTGGACCTCCAGCCCCAGCCTCCTGAATCCTTGTCGGAGCTCTAACTCCAAACCATTGACTTCTCTATACCAGGGAGCCTCCAGGAATGTTGGAGGGCTGCTTTGAGGGTTCCTCTCCCTCTGTTTAGAGAACAATCCCAAGTAGGATCAGGCATTCTGATGTTTCCAATGTGGACCAAAGGTTTCACACCATAATCCTAGTCCCTGCCAGGCAACTCCTAAATGTGGCTCCAGTCCCCAGGGAGGGTCCGTATTTCACTGCAAACCTTGCTTTCCACACCAGCCTCCCCCACACCCCCCCACGCCATAAGCTTAACTACAGTCAGTTCTGCTTGAAGCTGTGCTGAGCATGCGCGAGCTCACTGAATCCTCATCACAACCTCAGGTGTGAGGTCTTTATCGTCCACTGTTGACAGACGCAGAAACTGGGGCTCGGGAAGGTTAGGCGCCATGCCAGGGTCGCACAGGTAGTTAGCAGTGCAACCAGATTTCCAACACCATGTCACCTGACAGCAGGCTGGCTTGAACAGTGGGGATGTGCCCTCTGCCCCCACAGAATGCAGGATGGTAGCTCGAAGAGGCGTCTGAGAGCAGATTCTTTTGCTCTTGGGTGTGCGTTATTTCCTCAGTTGAGGCTGTGGCTCAGAGGACCTGCTGTGTGTCAGGGACTTAGAAATGTGGGGCCCCTGAGGAGTGACTCGGTGTCCCGAATGCTGTCTCCCACTGCCTAGTTTCTCAGCTTTGTAACCCTTCAGGAGGGTGTCATGGCTTGCTGGTAATCAGCAGTAGACTTGGAGAAGAGAGAACCCAGCAACCTCCCTGCTCCGAATCTGAGCCCCTGCTAAAAAGGAACGTTTTGGCAGTTTCTTTTCCTTCCTGCTCAACTTGGGCGCCCTGAGGCTCTTGCTCCTGAAACACAGTCCAGCCACCTGGCCTGTCCCCCTTCCCTCCCAAGGGCACTGGTTTTGGAGGACATGGCAAGGCAGGAGCTCACACCAGCCATTCTGCTGCCCTAAGTGCCACATCAGCAAGGGGCACCACCAACAACAATTTGTGGCATCTTCCCTGTGCCAGACACTAAACAGATGCCAGAAGGACAGTAGGGAGCAAACCGTTATGGCCCCTGCACTCATGGAACCCGCTGCCTAGTGGAGGAGATGGACAATAATCCATAAGTGAATAAATCATGATTGCAGATAGGGATAAATGCCTTGGACAGGATGAAACAGGATAATGGGATAGAAAGCGACTGGCCGGGTGTCAGGAGCAGTTGTAGATGTGTTGTTTTAGATAGGATGATCAGGAAAGGCCTCTCTGAGGAGGTGACATCTGAGCAGACATCTAATGAGGAGGAGGCAATTGGATCAGTTATCTATAGTCACGTAAAAACCAAAACTATGTAACAAGCTCCAATACTTAGTGGCTTACGACAACCATTTATTCTTTCTCACAAGTCTGTGGTTGGCCTGGGTGGTTCCTCTACCCATTTCTCCTGGTCACACATGCAGCTGGAGGCAGAGCTGGGCTGAAAGGTCCAAGAAGGCCTCACTCACACATCCAGTAGTTGGTGCTGGCTGTTAGCTGGGGCGCCTCAGCTCCCCATCACATGGCCTCTAATCCTCTAGTCAGCTAGACTGGCTGCCTTCTGTGCTGGTCTAGGGGCAGCATTCCAAGAGGGCAAAGGCAGAAGCTGCAAGAACTCTAGGCTTAGGCTCCTGAACTCATAAAGGGTCACTTCTGTCACATCCTGTTGTCAAAGCAAGTCACAGGGCCAGCCTGAATTCAAGCGGTGGGGAAAGAGATACCACCTCTTGTTGGGGAGAGTGGCAAAATATTTGCAGCTATCTTTAAGCTGCCACATTATCCATGGGAAGATCTTTGGGAAGAGTATTCCAGGCAGAGCAAAGAGCAGGTGCAAAGGCCCTGAGGTAGGATGGAGTCCAGAGACCTGAGTCTTGAACAATGGGTTCCTCCACTTCCTTGGTTTCCTCTTCTGTCAAGTGGTAACTAAGGCTGCCTCCATGCCTCCTTTATAGACATATAGGATGTAGGAGGCTTTGCTTCACGACAGGGTTAGGATTTTGGTTATTTGGCCACTGAGTGGGAAGAGAATCAAACACAAGAGCTCAGTTTGCCATCCTCCAGGCTTATTGGTGTCTGTTGACCACCATCTGGCAAGAAGGCACAGTACTGGGCACCACAGGTCACAGGAGAGGCTGAGGGGTGCTGATTTTGCTGAGATTATGAGCTGAAAAGACTGCTCACTGAGCAGGATGGTGACCGAGCTGGAAGGATTGTGGGCCCCAGGGAAGGCCTAGAGGAGGTAGGATTCCAGCAAGGCCTTGCAGGCACATAGGATTTGGCTGAAGGAGGGGAAACTGTTGATAGGGGAAGTCGAGGGGGCTGTGGAATTTAGCATTTCAAAGCAATAAATGTTGCTGAACCCCTACTCTGCACTAAGTGACCAGGAAAGACAGAGGACCTGCCCGAGGCATGGTGGAACCCAGAGGAGGCACCCACCCAGGCCTGGAGAGCCAGGAAGGCTTCCAGGAGGAAGCCACAAGGCTTCTGAGGCATGAAGGATGAGTCAGGTCAAGCATAGTGGGGCAGAGGGTTGAGTAGGAGGGACCAAGAGGGTCCCAGTGGGAGGAGCAGCATCTGCAGAGGCCAGAGGGGAGGGCGATCTTGGTATTCTCAAGTAAGGGTCCCAGTGGGAGGAGCAGCATCTGCAGGGGCCAGAGGGGAGGGCGATCTTGGTATTCTCAAGTAAGGGCAAAGGGTTGTGTCTGAAGCAGAGAGTTCATGTGAGAGGGAAAAGATGAGCTTGGGGCCACAATGGGCCTCATGGACCAATTAAAGACTCTCACTTTTTTCCTGAAGGCAGTTTGCACAGGGTTGCCAGATTTAGCAAATAGAAATACAGGTTCTTGGGGCTGGCCCCGGGGCCGAGTGGTTAAGTTTGCGTGTTCCGCTCTGGCGGCCCGGTTTCACCGGTTCGGATCCTGGGCATGGACATGGCACTGCTAGTCAGGCCTCACTGAGGTGGTGTCCCACATGCCACAACTAGAAGGACCTGCAACTAACAAATATACACTATGTACTGGGGAGATTTGGGGAGGAAAAGCAGAAAAAAAGAAAAGAAGATTGGTAACAGTTGTTAGCTCAGGTGCAAATCTTTGGAAAAAAAATACAGGTTCTTCCAGCCAGCCCTGATGGCCTAGCAGTTAATGTTTGGTGCGCTCCACTTTGGCGGCCCAGGTTTGGTTCCCAGGTGTGGACTATACCACTTGTCTGTCAGTAGCCATGCTGTGGTGGCAGCTCACAGAGAAGAACCAGAAGCACTTACAACTATACCCAGCTATGTACTGGGGCTCTGTGGGTGGAGAAAAAGGAGGAAGATTGGCAACAGATATTACCTTAGGGTGAATCTTAGCCTAAGGAAAAAAAAGTCTTGAAAAAATACAGGTTGTCCTGTTAACTTTGAATTTCAGATAAACAATGAATCATTTTTAGTATAATTAAGTGCATGCAATATTTGGAACATTCTTATACTAAAAAAATCATTCGTTGTTTATCTCAAATTCAGTTTTAACTGGGCCTCCTGTATTTTCTCTGGCACCTCTAAGTGTGGGACCACAGAAGGCGTTTAAGCAGGGGATGGCATGGTCAGATTTGTCTTTTGGGAAGTTTCCAGGATTTGTGGGAAAACACACTGGTGGGAGACAGGAAGGGGTGGAGGATCAGGGTCCTGCTTTGTCCAGGTCAGAGAAGAGGAGGTTGCCACCAGGGAATGGGGGCATCTCATCATGTTACCTGCCTCCCCCAGTGGGCAGGTGGCCCTGGATAAATACCTCAGCTGATGCAGTCTCATGTGGGTGACTGCAGACCAGGCAGACCCCAGCTCTGCCCTGCGAGCCTCTGGGCTGGTCTGCTCCTTTCTGGGCCCTTGGCGTCCTCATCTGTTGAATGAAGGGGTCAGACAATCAGAAGAGATGGTCCATAATGGCCCTCCTGTTCCTGCCATCCTGGGGCTCTCTGTCCACCCTCTCTCTGACATCTCTCCTGGGTGTTGTCCCACCATGGTGACAAGTCCAAACCTGAGACAGTTGGCTCCAAGGTCACCCCTCCCGTGCCCCCTCTCCCCTTCTTCCCTTCCAACATCACTCTGACCAGCGAATGCATGAAGTGCCCCCACATCTCCTCTCCAGCCTCAGGCCCCACGTCTGGTTTGGGAGAAGGGACTCAGCATTTGCCAAGGTCCTACTATGTGCTGAGCTAGTTCCTCTATATCACTTGTCTCATTTAATCCTCACAACAGCCCCTCAAGGAAGGTGTTATTATGCCCATTTCACAGATCAGGGAACTGAGGCTCAGTGTACAGTTGCTGCCCAGGTCACACAGCTGTATAGTGCCAGAGTGGAGTCTAGGTCTGGCTGGCGCCAGTGCTCTGCCCTCCCACTGACTCCAGGAAATGTCCCCAGGAGCCCCTAATCCCCCTTATATTTATCACTTGGGCTCAGTCAGCATTCTCCTTGTCCCACTGCAGGCACATGCTGCCCTAGCTCTTTCAGAGTTAAGCCAGGGACTCAAATGGGTCAGCATATTGCTCATCTGCTAGGGGCTTTCTGGTTTACGAAGTCCTTTTCCATCTGTGCCATCTTCACAGCCCTATGGAGACTCTGCATGGCCCCCTCCAGCTCTTCTAGCCTGTAGCTCTGCTGCAGTGAAGTCCACATTAAATATTAACAGGGCAGCTCCTGGCACAGCTGTGACGTCAATTACTGGGCTGCATGGTGAGGGCCGAGGCTGCCTTTCCAAGGTGAAGCAGTAACTGGAATTCAACTGGCTCAAATGGCGTCCCAGGGGACTGGCTGTTGGGACTCAGAGAAGATGCTGCTAATGTAAGGTGTGGCAAGGGTCCAAAAGCTTTCCTCTCATCTCCCTGGTTCCCTCAGGGCCTGGGTGGCATCGTGATGATGACACAAGGCATTCAGTCATTTGGCAAGTATTTACTGAGCACATGCTGTATGCCAAGCACAGTGCTAGGCTCTGGGCATACGGCCATGAGCACGACAAGGTCCCTGCATCATGGGACTCCCCATCTGGCAGAGGAGAGGGAGAAACAGTCTCAGCACAGAGGGGTAAACCCAGCACTCTGGGCCAGAGCAGGTGCTCGCCCCAGCCTGAGGCTGAGGGGTCCTTCCAGAGGAAGCTAGGGTTCTGCTGAAACCTGAAGAAGGAGCCCAAGTTAGGTATGGAAAGAAGAGGGGTGAGTGTTTCAGGCAGAGGGAACAGGATCAGAGTTCAGATCCTGGTTCCACCCCTTCCTAGCCATTTATATGCAAATTGGGCTTCCACCTTACAGGGTCAATATGAGGACTAAATGAAGCCATGGCTAGAGATAGCACAGGGCTTGATGCAGAGTGAGAGCTCGGGGGTAGCTGTTATGAAAACAGCTCTGTGCCCTTATATAATTCCTTTGTCCTGCCAGGAATTCCTCCCCGCATGTTGCGAGCAGAGAAACTGAGGCTCACAGGGGCGACCTAACACACCCAGGGTTATATTGTTATACAGGATTATATTGGTTATACAGGATTAGACCTCAGGCTGGACACACGATCCCAGGCTTTCACTTGGGCTTTTTGCCATTCTTCAGCCACAGGCAACCCAAGTAGCCGTCTCAGCTCAGCGAGACACAAAATGTCACCGGCGATCCCAGTGTGAGTTGCTGGTCTCGGCTTCTTTGAGGTAATGCCACAGCTGTCTGAGGATAAGCCCAGGCCTAGGCATAGACCTGATTCTGCTGCTAACCTGCTGTGTGACTGTGGGTGAATTACTTTCCCTCTCTGAGACTCAGTTCCCTGTAGTTAATACTAATACCAGCTGTCATTGCCTGGGCCTCTGACCCTCCCAACAGAGCTGTGACAGATGACTATTTTTAATGCCATATTAAAGATGAGGAACCAGTCTAAGAGGGGCAAAGTGACATGCACAAGGCCTAACAACAAGTGGGAGCTGGGTTTGGAGCCGGGCCTGTCTGCTGGCAGAGCTGGCTATCAGGTCCACCAGGCTGTGCTCTCAAAGAAGGAAAGCTCACTAGAGTTGTCTCCAAGATCCTTATTATAAGTCTGGGATTCTGTAAGTTCCCTGCTGTCCCCAGGCCTTCAGGGCCCTGTGATTTCACGGGGAGGGCATTTCAGGTTGGGCTGATCCTCCAACTGTCCCCATTTAAAGGAAGTAACAGCAATGTCACAAGTGCCCGGGAGGCAGCTCCCACTCTCTTAAAGCTACAGCCTCATTCCTCCTGGCAATAGCCCAGCAGGTCTAGCGTGAACAGCAACATGCCCATTTTGTGGAAGAGGAAACTGAAGTCCAGAGAGGTGGAGCTACTTACTCAGGCATCCCCAGCTCCTGTGGAAGAGCTGGGATTGGGGGCCAGGTCTGGTAACTCCAGATCTTGTTCTCTGAGTAATTACGAGGTGGCCAAATTCAACCCAATAGTCCTCCTCCTCCTCTCAGTCCCCTCCTAGCTCCTGCAATCTTGCCTTTCTCCCCCTTGCTCCCTCCCTTCTCTTATTTTCCACTCAGCTGTCACTTCATCAGTTAGCTGTCAGGGGATTTCAAGTGTTCCCCCTTCTGGGCTGGCCCGGTGGTGTAGTGGTTAAATTCACACACTCCGCTTCAGCGGCCCAGGGTTGGCAGGCCTGGATCCCAGGTGCAGACCTAGACACTGCTCATCAAGCCATGCTGTGGTGGTGTCCCACATACAAAATAGAGGGAGATTGGCAACACATGTTAGCTCAGGGCCAATCTTCCTCAACAACCACCAAAAAGTGTTCCCCCTCCTGAAAGACCTTGGTCACTCACAAAGAGGGCTCTGATGGAATTTTTGCAATACACACAAGGTGTGATCAGGTTCAATTCAGCACTCATGGAGAGGTACACCCCAGCACTCATATGATGAGTGAAACACAGGCCCTCTCCTCTGGTGTTTACATTCTATAAGAGAAATGGCAGCTTCCTCAGGAAGCAGGAAGCAGGTGGTATAAGTGCCAAAGAGTGTGGACTTCATAGTCAGAAAGGCCTGGGTTCAGATCCTGACTCTGCCCCTAGTAGGTAGTAGTTACGTGACCTTGGGTAGGTGAGCTTCAGTTTCCCCATCTGTTTAATGGGTATAAGAGGAATCGCCACCACATAGTTGTCAAATTAGATTGAATTCCATAGCATAGTGCTTGATGCCTAGTAGATGGCCAATAAACATTAATCCTACCAAAAGAACTCTATGCAGATGGTGGAAACCAGAGTCATGGTGGCAGTGGGCAGATGGGGAGAGTTCTTCTTGATGGAGAAGGTAAGAGGTAAGATTTCAGCTGGTGATTAAAGGACTTAAGCAGAGAGAGAGGTAGAAGAATGGGAAAGGACATTCTAGTTGGCAGAAACTTGTGGGCAGAGTCTGGGAACCTGGTGGGCGTAGGATGTCCAGGGAGTGGGTGATGAGCTTGGAAAGGTGGGCCAGGGTCAGGTTATGAAGGGCCAGGGGGAGGAGCTTGTATCTTTTATGGGGGAATGAGTGCTACCCTTGACTCCAGCAGCAGCTCAGTGCTGTGTCTGCAGAGACCAGCCTCCTGGAGTCGGCTTTCTCCTGTGGCTTCATTCCTCCCAGATCCCTTTGTTTCCTGAGTCGGGGCCAGCCTGCCATTGTCGTCTGGAAGAAGACAGAAGGCTGTAGCAATCTGCTCGCCTCCTACTCACATACTGGGAAGAAAAGATGTTTTTTAGCACAGTTGCCTGGCAGGGAACCTTGGTGAAAACTCAGCAACCCTCTCCCTTACTTCCCAGGGTACCGTTTAAGCAGGAGCTGATGACAGTTATGCTCACAGCTCAACAACCAAAAGAGTATTCACAGGCTCTCAGAAGGTCAGGGGCAGCAGTGGAAAGAATGGTGAAGGTAGAGTGGGTCTGGATCCTGGTTTCTGCCCTGCTTTCTGTGCTGCAGTTGAGAATACATTTAACCTCAGTTTCCTCATCTGTAAAATTGAAACAATACCGACCTTACTTTAACCAAGTGGGAGCACACTGGCAAACTGCTGCCCCTGACCTACAGAGTAGGTTCTTGTTACCCTCTTCCACTCCATGTATTGATGTGGTCCAAACTCTGGTCCTCTGAAGCATCCCTGTTTCATCTCTTGAGTTGTCATTGCCGTTATTTCTTGAACTTCCAGTGGTGAAATACCCTAGACCTTCAGAGCTAGAAAAAAGAAAGGACCCTGCCACCCACCAATGCAGCCTCCCATTTTACAAATAAGACATCCAAGGCTCGCAGAGGGGAAGTCACAGCACTTGGGCCCCGTCCTCCAGCTTTCCAAGACCACATAGTCCCTCGCACCTGGGCCCACCTCGTGGGAACCACACAGATGCTTGAGGCAATTATCCAGATGGTTCCAGCCAAAGGATCTGGAAAATTCTGGCTAAGAAACACAAGTCCTCAACCAACTGCAGAACTGAAGCAAAAGCCTTTTTCGCCATCATTTTAACTGCGATTCCATAGGTGACAGCTTTGCCTTCTCCCCCAGAGCTGAGCTCCTCTGAACAAGCTTGAGGGGGGGCGGGTGCTGAAAATGGGGCTCCGAGCTCCACCAGCTCGCAGATTGCAGCTACCAGGACATTTTCACACTTCTTAATGCCAAAACCTGCGTTGGGAGCTGATCTGCTCTCAAAGAGGGCTTTGAGAGTGGTGGAAGGCTCTGGATGATCTTAGACACAGGGGGTGGAATGTGGTATCAGCGAAGAACACTGGGGCCAAAGCAAATGGCAGGAAGCAGGTGTGAGTGGCGAGGCTGTGGGTGACTGCCTGGACCACCAAGCAAGCATCTGACCCTTCTAGGTCTCATTTTCCTCATCCATATAAAGGGATAACAACCTCCTACCAAGAGTTGCGAGAATTTGGTGAGATAGTATATGGGGTAAAGTGTTTACCCCCAAGCCAGGCAGAGAGCCAGGGCTTAATAAGCAAGAGCTGCTGCTGATGCTGTTGGGGGCCGTGCTATTATCAGCAGCTCAGGATCAGCGAGGTCACCTGGCCAGCAGGAGGCCTGCATTTGGGAAAAAAAATTAAAATCCTATCTGGGTGACACAAATCTGTGGGCAGGTGGCCCCTTCTGCTCAGGGTGGTAACCATGCCAACAGTGTGCACGCCATCTCTCCAGAACAATACCAGGTCTTCTTTGTAATATGTCCCTTGGTGTCTGGACTTCTCAGGAAGCTCAGAGTGTCCCAGAGTACCCGAGGAAAAAAACAGGACGTTCCTTTTCTGGGTCACCTATTCACTGTGCTCCAGTGGAGGGTTATGACAATGCTTTGGAAATTCAGACCCAAGCGACCACAGTCATTACCGCAGCCTCAGGGTGGGACGCAGCAAGGAATTATCATATAGCTGTGATGGCTGGTGCTTCCCATGTGCTGGCACTGTGCAGGCGCGGTACAAACACGCTCTTGCCTACTGCCAGCCCCAAGAAACAGGTGTGGTTAGTCCAGGTTTACAAGTGGCCTGCCCAAGGATACTCAGCTGGTAACTGGCAGAGCAGGATTTGAACCCAAGTTCAGATCCTTTTCCCCCATTACACCACAGACAGGTTCTCAGGTCGCCAGAGGGGGTTTGCTCTGTTCCCTGAGCGAGACCTGTACCAGGTGAAGATGCAGCAGACCTGCCCCTGTGCGGGGACCTGCTCTGAGCTCTGGGGCAACACAGCGAGTTTGACATTAATCACCAGCCCCCTTCCTCTGGTTCAGGGGCTCTCTTTGAAGCTGTTCAAAGGCCATGTTTCTTGATGGGACTTAGAGCCCTGGGAGTAGGTGACCTGCCCAAGGCGGTTGTCCTGGTCTTTATTTACGAGGTTTTGGGGAGTTGGCAGCTCTCTCCTGAGGGTGAAGAAGGTGGGTGCTGCTAGAAGTGTGTAGGCTGTAAGAGGGGAGGCTGTGTGTGCTTTCCACAATCTGAATGACCCTGAAGGGGGAGCCATACCTTGGCCCCTTCTCAGCTAAGGCGAGGGTAGCGTGGGGCCATCAGGCTGGGGAGTCTGCTGGACCTGAGTTTGAATCCTGGCTCTGTTGATTACCAGCTGTGTGACTTTATTCAAGTCATGGAGCATCTTTGAGCCAGTTTCCTCACCTGTAAAAGGGGAATGGAAATCAGCCTACTTTACAGAGGTATCCTGAGGGAAAAAATACACCTGTCTCTGCAAAGCCCCTCGCCCAGTGCTGGGAATGTGGTAGATGTTACCTTCTTCTCAAGAGTGCGCGTGGATGATGTCACTCAGGGTAGGGGAGAATGACAAGAGGCCCTGGGACGGAGCCCTGAGGGACCCCAGCATTTCGGGGTAGGCCGAGAAGACAAGCCTACACAGGAGACAGGAGAGGAGCAGCCAGAGCAGCAGGGAGAAGCCAGGAGAGAGCAGGGTCATGAGAGCTAAGAGGAGAGGCTGTCTAGGAGGGGGGAGCAGTTGCGCCCAGTGCAGCCAAGAGGGCCAGGAAGGTGAGGACTATGAAGTGACCTTGGATTTGACAAGAGGAGGGCTGCCTGGGTGGAGGGGTGGGGCAGAGCCAGAGTACACTGGGCTGAGGGATGGGTGGGAGGTGAGGAAGTGGTGACAGTGAAGTTTGGTGAGAAGGAAAGAAAAGCTTCATGGGAGAACCAAAGTGTGCCACATTTGACATTTATGAGTGTCAAAATCAACTAGAATTGAATGTGATTAGAATGCTCCAGTCTACCTAATTTTCACTGTTTTGAAATCACTCTCTGTCCAACAATGATCAGAAAAGCTAGAAGGGCTCTAATCCCTCTAAGAGCTGGAAGGAACCATGGAGCTCCCCCCACTAGAGCTGGCCTTCCTCCCACCTCTTACTGGAGCGCCATTATCATGGAGGGTGGGGTGGACAATTAATTATCATCTATTGCACTCTTTAAAGAAATTCTCTAGGGAAAAGATCAGCCTAGTTTGTTAACCTCAATTCCATTTGTAGTTAGCAAAGGTGCATGCATGGTGAAGCCTGGGATGGGGGCCTCCTCCCAGACCCACACTCAAATTCTGTTTCATGGATACTGAGGTCCTCATTTTAGCATCATAGCAGGGCGAAGGCCCAAGAGTCAGGAGACCTGCTACGGAAGCCTCAGCTCTGCTCACTGGCTATGTAAACTTCGGCCAGCCTCTCCTCCTCTTCAGACCCGTTTCTCCTTATGCAGGATAAGCGGTTGGACAGCAGTGACTCTAAGAGTCCTGCCAGCTCTGACATTCCAGGATTTCTATTCTGCAGTGCTTTTCACATTCCTTCAAGTCCAATTTCCAGATGGTAAAACTGAGGTCAGAAAAGGCCCACTCTCCAGTCCCTCCTTTCTAATGCATCTTACTCTCCAGAGCAAGACTCCTGGCCTGAGATACAGCTTCCACACCTCCAGTGGTTCCCAATTAGCTAAGGATAAATCTTCAGCTGGCATTGACGACACTCCGTAACCTTGTCTTACCACTGCCAGGCCTCTCTTCTCACCTCCCAGATTTTGTTTCTATCCTCACTGCCAAGCCTTTGCCCATGCTGGACCCTACTCCCTAATATCTTTCGCTGAGGTTGAGGTCCAGCTTACCTGCTCTTGCATGTTTAGAGCTAGGCTTCTAAGGCAGAGGCTTTATCTTACTTATTCTGTAGCTCCTCCTTCCCCCAGCGCTGAGCAAGCAGTAGGTGCTCAATAAAATTCTCGGCGCCGCAAGCCCCTCCTCCTGTGTTGCCCTTGGCGTGTTGTACTTAAGTCGGCCCAGGTTTCAGTCACTGGGATTTTCCTAGCTTGTCCGGGGCCCAGCCCAGGGCCTGGTAGGAGGGACCCACAGCATCGAATGCCAGGACTGGGAGGGGCTTATTGACCAGCCAGAGGGTCCTCTTCGCCACAAGAGGAAATCCAGTCTGGATATGAACTCAGGTCCACCACTTACAGACCGGGTAATCTTGAGCAAGTCGCTAATCTGGTTTTGAAAAATGGGGAAACCCAACTGTGCCCACCTGCAGGGTGAGTTGCGAGGATTAAGCAGGATTATACCCGTGAAGGCCGAGCACTTGGCCGACTCCTCATAGGAGTGTCGTGCATGTTACTTGTCCCAGCGGGGCCACCCAGTCCCTCCTTCGTGGAAGGCACAGTCTGCCCAACGCCACTTCTCAGGGTGGGGGTGCAGTGAGTCAACGTGTGTGTATGGGGCTGTCCCCAGATGTCGGACCCAATCCCGCCCCAGCCAGTTGCGGAAACAAGTGCAGGGTGTGGCCCCGCCGACCCCATCGGCCAGGCAGGGCTCCGAGCGGGTGAGATGGCGTGGGCGGGCCCGTCCGCCCCTCCGGGCACGCGGCCTCCTGGCTTCTCCAAGCACTAGGTTTATTTGCTTTTCGGGCCCTTCTCAAGCCAGATCTCTAACCTGGATTCTGAGGCGCTTTTCAGGGTGGGGCTGTGAGAATGCGCTGCCCGCGTCGCCGCCATCACCGCGCGCCCTCCTGGGGCTCCGCAGTCCCCACCCCGCTCTCCTCTCCCACCTCCACCTATGCGGCGGTAAAATGCAGCACTCGCAGGGCGCCTGCGCGGCCCTCGGGCTGGGCGGCGGCGGCAGCAGCTATTTATAGTAGGTGACGTCACCTTGAAATAGACCGTTAGGGCCAGCCCGCCCTGCCCCCTTCCCACTCCCGCCGCTCCCCGCCGCCCGGCCCGGCCGCTCCCACTGCGCAGGCGTCCTCGCGTGCTCCCATCCCCCCGCGCAGCCGCCTCTCCTCCCTCGGCGGCGTCCGCGGCGTGAGCCACAGCGCGCGGGGCGAGACAGCGAGAGGGCGCGAGCCGCTCTGCTGCCTGCAGCCTGCAGCCTCCGGCCGGCCGGCGAGCCACTGCGCGTGCGCGGCGGCGGCCCTCGCGGAGACCCGGGAGCGGATCGGCGGGCGGGCGAGCGAGCGAGCGGTGCGGGGCGCGAGGCGAGGCCGAGCCACGAGCGACATGGGGGACCGGGAGCAGCTGCTGCAGCGGGCGCGGCTGGCCGAGCAGGCGGAGCGCTACGACGACATGGCCTCCGCCATGAAGGCGGTGAGCTCGCCGGGAGCCCGGGCGGCCCGCCGGGGGGCCCGGCGGAGGGGAGGCTTGGGTGGCCGGGCGGCGTCTCCCTCCGGGCCCGGGGCGACCCTGCGACCCCGCTGGGCGCGGCCGCCCGGCGGCAGCCCGCGCTTCCCGCGCCCGCCGGGCGCCCCGCCATTTCCTGCGGCCGGGCCCGGGTGGGGTCTCCGGGGAGGGGGCGGCTCGGGGTCGCAAATGCAGCACCGCGGCGACGGGCGGGCGACGGTGACCCCTGCGGGCGGGCGGGGGTCGCCGCAGCCTAGCTCGGAGCCCTGGTGAGGGGAGGGGGATGCCTGAGGAAACATAAGGGAGCCACATTCCTCCTAGACTGTTCTGCCAGACTTGGGGGCTCACCCCCCTCTCACTTTCCTCCACACCCCAACTTGTAATAAAGAATCACCTAGAGAGTGGCGCCCTGTCTCCTGGTTTTCCCTGCCACGAACTGAGGTCTGTGTCATTCCGATCCGTTTAGCTCTGCTCGCCCGAATCGTTGACGTTCCATCTTCGCACGCCCGGGGTCTGGCTTTGTGTGCGAAGACCCCCATCCTGCAGTCTAGGCGTGGACGCGGCCGGGAGGGCGGAGGGCGGAGGGCGGAGGGCGGGTGTGGGCCCCACTCCCAGGTTCGATGCTGCGCCCATCTGCCTGGAGATTAAAATGAGACGTGACTTGTAGGTGAGACGAGCCTGTGTGCCTTTGCATTCCCGAGACCCTCATAGATCGATGCTGCAGCTTGATTTCCGGTGCAGGAGTCGTGCCCAGCCGCACCCTAGCAAATACCGTGGATTAGACACCACCTGCGTTTCTGAGACTTAGAGTTCCGGTTATCCTCTCACTGTCCCTGTCTGTTCACGTTGTTTTACGTTTTCGCTAAATGAACATTATTACTTCTCTCTGCGTCAAGGTCACACAGTGGTAGAGCTCCAACTGCGGCCACCAACCTGCCGTGTTCATCCGGTGTACAACCTCCTGAGACGTGGGAGGATCCGCCTGGGCTCCACCTTAGACCTAAAGATTCTGAAACTGAGGGTGGGACTCAGAAATCTGCACTTTAACCAGCTCTCGTGGCAAGTTTTAGCAGGTTTAGGTTCGAGAATTACTGCCCTGGTTTATATATAGCTCCTTTGCCCTTTTGCTGGCTTTGTGGGGGGGATTTCTTAGAGAAAAACCTACAAATCCAGAGGCTGCCTAAAATTTCAGAATCATTTGAAAAGCGCCTTTTAAGGCTTTTGATATTAGTATAATATGAAATATGTTGTCGAGGTCAGCATTTAGGATTATCCAGGAAGGAAGGATACTTGAAGAGTTTTCTGAGCTGTCCTTGTTGCATATTGAACTAGGTGTGTTTGCAAACCACCACCACCCATTTCTTGATTCGTTGCTCATCCCGATTCGAGCACTGGCATGCTGTCGAGGTTTAGATAGGAGCTTTCATCCAAACCAGGGACGATCTTGGTTTGGGACCTGGAGGCTATATCATTCTGGGGCCCTCTTTAAGAAAATGAATGTAAAATATATTAATTTTTCAAATTTTATAGAAAGAGGACTGACTGTGAGAATGCATTTTCTCGGAAGGGACCCTGAGCTTAATTTTCTCTGGGATAAAGCCACTTCTGTCCACGCAGCAAGTCACATTGAAGTGAGCCTCTTCTCCTCAGTAACTGAGTGGTACTAGGATTATGCAGGCTGAGGCCTCTCTCTGGAGGTTCTAGTGAAACCCTCAGCCCCCCTGTGAGTGGTTGAAGGCTGCAGTGTTAGGAGCGCTTTGAGGAGTAAAGAAGGCATGGGGCTTGAGGAAGGGTGAATTGAAGTTGAGGGAAAATGACTAGACTGTACATTCTGGAGCTATAGGAAACCTGAGGCAACTAGAAATGGGAAGTAAGGGGAGAATGGAGACATGTAACCAGAATGAAATACAGTTTGGGGAACGGGAAAAATTGGCTGGTCTTCATAAGCAGCCTTCAAAAATGCTTCCCTGCAGCTAGCTATTTGTGTCCACAGATTTTCTCTGACACTTTGAGATAGCGTTTTGCAAACGGATGGACCCCTCTGTGTGTTGGGAATCTGTAATATCTATCTGAAATGATTGACGGGTTGGGTAAGCCATCTAGCATTGAAAATTCAATCCAGGTCTAATTATGTCATCTCAGAATTTGTGATAAACCATTCCCTCAAGGTAATTTGTATTAAAAAAAAATAAGAACTTTTTTTGTCATCTAAATTAATGGAATATATTTTTTGGAAAGGACTTGGCAGGGGTCAGTGGAAAACAGTTTCTTGTGTTTTACCTAACAGTTACCGATGTTTTTTATGTTAAATTCTTAATGTTATTGAGAAGGCTCAATCCCCATTTTATTAATATAGGCCTTAAGTAGAGCTTTTGGAAAAAGCTGGAATTCTAGTAACCCTCTGGGTTTATGTGGGTTTTCTTCATGGCAGGTAAGTAGACTGCTCCAGAGATGATGGAACAGCACACCTGAGTGAGGGGATGCTCTGATGCCGCCACTCTGTGACCTTGAAACTCACATCTCTTGGCTTCCGGTCCTCTGAAGTGCAAAACTTGTCATGTTGGTGTTACTGTCAAGCTGGGTTTCAGCGTTCATTCTTCTAACTTGTTTTCTGTTTCCTTTATAATTTAAATGGTGACCTGATAATATTGCCCGCCTATAATGATTGATGTTCCTTAGCTACCAGCGTCACCTGGAGGAGATGGTGTGTGTCGGTAAGCTTTAAGAAAAATGCATACTGGTCCACGACGGTGTTGCCTCGCATCAGCTGAGAACTGCAGTTCCTTGCCTCACCCCATAATTTGAAGAGGCACGAAATGTTTCTGGAGTGAAGGAGCATCTTCAAGCTCTCCTCATCTCATACCTGGTAGCTTACAGAGAGTGTAATAGTGGGCAGGAACATCATGAAAGGTTTTAGAACCCAAGTCCTTTTTAAGGCCAGGATTGAAATGACCATACGCAGTTCGTAACCTCTGTCAAATGGGTATAATACCATCTTATGAAAACCATGACATAAACCTATAACATGGGGTAAAAGTGTTAGTGCATAAGACTGAGAGATTTGAGGAGAGAGGGTAAATAATCAGATGTCCTGTGAATGTTCGTGGATAGACATAATTCAGTCACGTCTCTTATTACCCTAAGTCATCCATTTTGTATTAAATCATATGGATGGTAATTGTGAAATTATAGAAATGTAAAAATCATTTGGGATAGCCTGGTGTGTTTTAACACTGCTACGCAGTCGATTACAGAGTTGACAAAGGACAGGGAGAAATACGTCTGAAGGACTTGAAGAATATCTGTAGAAGTCTTAAGTGCAGGAAACAAAGCTGTAGCTTAAGGAAATAGGACTTGGAGAGGATGAGGCACTTGGCCCAACCAGTGGCCAAAGGCTCTTATTCCAGCAGCTGTGAGATTATGGGAAGTGGGGAGATGAGCAGGTGGCGTGTAAAAGGAGAGCACGGCTGTGTGGCCTGGGGTGAGACATAGCCGGGCTGCAGATACTAAAACAAAGGACGATTTTGAGGTGTACCAAAATTGTGGTTACTGTGAAATCTTAAAGCCATATTGGCTTTATAACAGTTTGAAATATGTGTAAACTAGTGAGCCCTGTTTCCTACCAACTGGTCATTTGAAATGTAATTATTGCTTTGTCATATTGGCTGAGGAAGGAAGAAGGCTTTGGATTTTTCTGGCAATAGTCTGTGTTAAAAGGCACTAAAGAAGGTAAACAGTTCACATAGCTTCGCTGCACCGAAGTGGAAATTGTGGCTCCTATCTGGGTTTGGGGTTCCTGAATTATCCCCAGAAGAGCTCCCACTGTCAAGGATCTCATTACTCACTTACACCAAAAACGTGTTTCCTCATCTTTGCCTGGAATTTTCTATTAGTGGTAGACTGCAGTTTTCCAGAAATATGGTTTGGGAGGGGGTACCCCAAATGTGTTTTCTGTGTTATACTTCAAGTTTAATGGGATTTATCATTTTAGTTATCAGGCACTCAGTAAATGGTTTCTATTATACCATGTGTACATTCTCATTTAATTTTTATTACAACTCTGGATGGATACTGTTATTAACTCCATTTTACAAATGAGATTTAAGGAGGTTTGTTTTCTCACAGTCAGTTTGTAAAGCCAGGATTTGAACTCTTGAATTTAGAGCTCTCAACTTTAGCCACTGTATGATCATGCCCTGTGAGGCTAAGGGGTAATATTTCTAGTATACATTCTGGTATATTAGCCGTTGTCATCGTTGGTGATGAAATTCTAATCCCTTTACACAAGCGGGCTTACTGAACAAATAATTTCATCTATTAGATGTATGTCATTTTTGCCAAGTTAGAGTAAAAACAGAATCTGACACTTAGGGATCTTAGCTATAGCAGAGGACCATGAAAGGCAAACTGGCACATCTGGATTTTGCTTGTTTTCCTGAAGACCAGGAGTTTTTTTAGCTTAAAAAGCAAAGTATTAATTCAATTTGAGTTTCTGCTATGAATTAAGAAGTAGAGGACTATGTTAAATTATACTGTGGTATTTTAAGAAATTTTCGTATCCTTGGCTCCAATTGTTTCTTCATAGTTCATCTAGCATATTTCATAAGTCTGGGACCCCAAATTTCAGTCTCTAGGCTGTTGATAAAATTCCTCCCAGTGTCCAAGTGGAGGCTGCCAGTTCTGCCCCCACCGTTTGGGAGCCCCTCCCACTCCTTGCTGCGATGGCATTCCCCGCTTTGGTAGTGGGTGTTGGCACTTCCCTCTGATCAGGACCTGGCACAGCTTCTGAAGCCCTTAGTCCTGGTGCCTCCAGGGACAGTAGCATGCAGTAATGCCATTCAGATGCGGTTGCATTTCATTGCTGCCAATGCCTACGAAAATGTTGAGTTGTGTCAAGAGCAAGACAAAAGCAGTCTCTTAACAATACAAAGTTAGCTGTTTTCTTTGACTAATGCTGAGCTTAGAGTGGATATTAATTACCTGAACTCCTCTGCTCTGAGCGTGAAGTTCAGCCTCTCTTGCGGCCTTTGCGGAACTGCAGCCTTACCCTGGTGAGAACAGGCAGTGGGCTCTCCCGGCTGGGCAAGTGGTGACTGTTGGTGGGTGCTTTGCCAGCGTGGGACCAGGCAGAATCCTCACTTGTAGGGCATTAACTTGGCAAAGAGTTGGCCAAAAAAGCTTTCATCGCTCTAGCTCTTAAAAAAAAGACACGGGATTCTGCCAAAGAAGCTTAAAGATTTTATGATGTGGTTATGTCTACCTGATTGCTCATGAGAATCATTTTCTTCTGTTCTAAACTCCTATCAAAAGCAAGATTGTTGGTAGTGTTTGGGTGTGGGCGACTATAAAAGATGGGACGGTAGCGTGTGTGCGTGTAGCTATGAAGGATGGGAGTGCTGTTCGGGAGAAGTAATATTAACCCTAACTTTGCTAACGTGGCCTGGCAGCTCAGAGGTGGCATTTTTTGTTTGCTCAATATTGCTTTTGAGGTTGGACGTTTCCCAGATTAAGAACTTTTTTTTCCCAAATAGTCCCTGTGCTATTTTTGGCAGTAGATCTATTTTTACTCAAAAACACATAGTTTATTGCCTTGTGAGTTAGTGAGGGGAGGCCTTTAGGGAATTTTGAGTCAGCGAATGGTGTCAGAGGAAGATAAATGATTTCGTAGCAGACCAGGTTATTCATGACTCTTAGTAACGCTGTGTGGTGTTTGAAGCAGAGAAAATGGGTGCCCTGGAGTTGGAATTGGTGCAGCCAAAGGCTGTGTGGTAAGGACATCAGTAGGATGGCTGGCAGGGAGTCCAGTCCTTAAAGGAAATGGAGAGGAGGACCTTTATAAATGGGGAGGGTCCATCAATTTAAGGGTTTCAGGAAGAGGGTAAGTGGGATTAAATGGGGTGGGGAGGTGCGCAGGAGAGCAAGAAGGCAGAGAGGCTGTGGGCAGAGGTGGATGAACCCCTTAGAGATGGTGTAGCCACCTGAAGACTTAGTGTCTGGGGTGGCTGCCCTGAGGGCAGCTGATGTGTGGCGGAAATGAGAATGTTGAAACTCCTGGCAGTGGAGTAGAAAGAAGGTTCTGAACCATTGTGTAGGTCTCTTCTATCTTGAAAATTCTGTCTTGCCTTTGCCTCGTGTTCCTAATTAGAAACTGGAAACGGATGATTGTAGAGATACAATAAAGCTCTCCATAGAATCTGCTTACCGTCCTCTGGTTAGCATTAGTGTGATCGGGCTGGTAGTGTATTGTTTTCCTTTCCATCACACTACATTGCCTCCCGGTGTCTGCTTCTCTTAGTGTATGTCCAAGCTTTTCTTTACGTCTCCTGGCTCCAGTATTTTGGAATTTGAAGTGTTGGGAACTGGCGAAGGTTATGCTCAGTAATAAGTATCAGTAATCAAGGCTGGCTGTAATTCTTTTTTGTTTCAATAGGCCATCTAATTTTACTTCGGTCTGTAATTTTCCATTCTGGGGGAAACTCTCAATTTTCTTTAGTTATCCAATCAAATAGTAATAAAACTATCTTCCTTCCATAAGTTTCCCTTTGTTAACTGAGTTGTAACCCAGGAGTATTAAAAAAAATTCTATGTTTAAACCTATTCAGTTATTCCCTAGTTAGGCCCTGGCTGGGGTTCTAAGAACAATGCCTGCTTAGTGATGTTAGTCACCCTCAGCTGATGCTGATAGTGATTCATTCAGACTGGCAGGCAACCAGATAATTGTTACATAAACACTAATACTCCTAGTAAATGATTGTTCTTGTGGCGATGTCTTTATAAATATTGCCCAGTAGCCTTTTTTGGCAGTTTATTTCCCCATGGAGGAGGGATATACTACAGGAATTCTGAAAGTCGCAGATACACCCAAATTTCTTTTACGTTAATACTATCAACCTCATGCCTTGCCACACCTTTTATTGTTGCTCAGGAAAAATGGAATCATAGAATTTTGGAGCTGAGGAAGTCCTTGGAGATAGTTTGGGCTGATCCCCCTTATTTTACTTTTGCTGCCCACAAAGGTGGTTAGTTCAAAGTCACACAGGTAGCTCAGGCTAAACTCCAGATGTCTTAGGTTTTTTTGTAATGATATTGCCCCTGTTATAAACATCCTGTGTGAGATATAAATGTATTTCAGGTATGCACTAAATTTTAATATTATACTCTGGGGAGTTACCTGGGTGAATCTTTGCAACATTCTGACTGTTGCTCAGCTTTATTAGTCACAGGATGGAGTATATAGTGACTCCTTATGGCTCTTATTTGCATTTTATTTTATGTATTTTAAATATATATATATTTTTTAAGATTTTATTTTTCCTTTTTCTCCCCAAAGCCTCCCAGTACATAGTTGTGGGTCCTTCTAGTTGTGGCATGTGGGATGCCGCCTCAGCCTGGCTTGATGAGTGGTGCCACGTCCGCGCCCAGGATTTGAAATGGCAAAACCCTGGGCCGCTGAAGCGGAGCACGTGAACTTTAACCATTCGGCCACCGGGCCCGCCCCTATTATTTGCATTTTAATGTCAAGTGGCCTTAGTCGAATTTATTTACTGCAAGATCTAAGGAGCTCTCCAAATTCTGTTCTTGCCTCATGTTTTGTCTTATTGAATATTGCCCTAGAAAAGTGAGTCATTCTAGAAGCTTCAAGCATTCTGAGATTTGTCAGAATATTTTAGATGGGATCTTGATTTATAAGGATTGATTCCTTAAAAGACCGAATTATCAAACAAATATCTACAAAGTCTCTTCATATTTCCAGTAACAAAAGTGAGTATGTGAGTGTTTAAAGGCACTCACTGGAGGAGAAAACGAGTGGGGTTACAAGTCTCCTTGACAGGGAGCCTGGATTTTGGATTAGTGGAGAGACGAAGATTGCTGAGGACTGGGGCGGATCACGGACAGAGGGATGGAGACGACTCGAATCTGTGAGGCGGAATGAGGAAACTGGCTTGTCGGCGGCCCTCTTAGGGAATGGGCGGGAGGCAGCGGGTAGCCAAAGACCACACTGAAGAAAGAAGTGGGGTTGCTGGATTGAGTAGCCACGGAGGAGAGACAATCCTGGGCTTAGGATTTGCAGCAAAAGAGCAGGGGGGCTGGGGACCGGGAGTTTTATAATTTTACCTTTAATAATGGATTTCATTTGTTGCTTATGTTCTCAAACTAGTAATTTTTAAAATAAACCTATCGTTTTTTGTTTTTAAACTTTCTGATTCTTCACTGCTCAGTCTTCTCAGTCCGTGTTAACATGTCTTTTAATATGCTGTTAATAAATTTTTCCGTTGAACTTGGCTTTTCCCTCCATCGGAGGAGGTTCTGTCCTTATGGTTTGGTTTAAGTAATACCTTTATGTTGTGTTTGATGGTTTCCTAAGTGCTTTTCTTTCTTTGTTTTTTTAAATTAAAGAGCTTTACTGGTAGGTCATATAATTAAGGAATCTCCCTACTGTATGGAAGATACGGGTCAATTTAGCAAGTTAGTGGTTTTGCTGGGGCCCAACCAAGGTTTTCTGACTGCAAGTCTGTATTAGTGTCCTAGGGCTGCCAAACAAAGTACCACGAACTGGGTGGCTTAAAACAACAGAAATTTATTTTATCACGGTTCGGAAGGCGAGAAGTCTGAGATCGAGATGTTGAAGGCTCTAGGGAAAAATCCTTCTTTGCCTGTCTCCTGGCCTCTGTTGGCTCCTGGTAATCCTTGATATTCCTTAGCTTGTAGATACATCACACCGCACTCCAATCTCTGCCTTTATTGTCGCATGGCATGACATTCTCCCCATGTGTTTGTGTGTCTCCAAATCTCTCTTTCCTTATAAGGACATCAGTCCTTGGATTTAGGGCCACCCTAATGCAGTATGACTTCATCTTGATTGTGTCTGCAGAGGCCTTATTTCCAAATAAGGTCACATTGACAGGTATCAAAAGTTAGGACTTCAACATGTCTTTTTGGGGACACAATTTAACACCACAGCCAAAGCCAGTGCTCTTTCATTAACTACATAGCTGGCTCACTCGGAATTGGCATCATGGAGAACCAGCAAGTTACAACTCATAAAATGAAACATTTCCACTTAAATGTTGCTTCTATCCTTGATTGCCAGTCCAGGGTTCCTGTCAGTAGGTCAGAGTAAAGCTTGCTGCTGAGTATCTATGCTTCCTTTCAGCAGAGGCTGGGACCACTGCGCTGTCACTAATGCATCCATTTTGGCTTGAGGGACGGCTGGTTGTACCAACGGGTTTCCTTAGGGAACCACACAGGGCAAGGCTCTGGCCACTAGATCTATGTGGTATTTGATCTCATTTGTGAGGCTCTTATCTATGAGTATGTATTTGAGGAAGGTGTAGTCAGTTCTTTACAGAATATAAAGCTGGAAGGAGAATCTGGAACAGACTTCCGGTCTCTAGTTGTCTTTGAACATTTGACAAAGGAATTGTATGATCTTACTGTTAAGAATATATTCTGCAGAATAGCTGGACCTCAGGACTTTTTCACCTGCCATTATGTACTATCACCTCACAACCTTTCCATGATTATCCTTCTCTCCATACCTTCACCAGCACCTTATAAGTTCTGAATGAGGGATTTCTCAAGGCCCTATCACTTCCTATTTTGAATTTCAACTATTTGTCTCTTCTATTAGACTACAGTCTCCCTTCAGGTAGGGTCCATATCTGACCAATTTTTCTCTGGAGTGGCTTGTCCATAATCCTGATTTTGGAAAGGGTTGTTGATTAGGTTGAAGGGGCGGTTTCTTCTAAGAATTTCAGACTTGGATCTGTCTCAATGTTTATTTTTTTGGGATTTTGCAGGTGACGGAGCTCAATGAACCTCTCTCCAATGAAGATCGAAACCTCCTCTCTGTGGCCTACAAGAATGTGGTTGGTGCCAGGCGATCTTCCTGGAGGGTCATCAGCAGCATTGAGCAGAAGACCATGGCTGATGGAAATGAAAAGAAATTGGAGAAAGTTAAAGCTTACCGGGAGAAGATTGAGAAGGAGCTGGAAACAGTGTGCAATGATGTCCTGGCTCTGCTTGACAAGTTCCTCATCAAGAACTGCAATGATTTTCAGTATGAGAGCAAGGTATTTTACCTGAAAATGAAAGGCGATTACTACCGCTACTTGGCAGAGGTAGCTTCCGGGGAGAAGAAAAACAGTGTGGTCGAAGCTTCTGAGGCTGCCTACAAAGAAGCCTTTGAAATCAGCAAAGAGCACATGCAGCCAACGCACCCCATTCGGCTGGGCCTGGCCCTCAACTTCTCCGTGTTCTACTATGAGATCCAGAATGCGCCTGAGCAGGCCTGCCTCTTAGCCAAACAAGCCTTCGATGATGCCATAGCTGAGCTGGACACACTAAACGAGGATTCCTATAAGGACTCCACGCTCATCATGCAGTTGCTGCGAGACAACCTCACCCTCTGGACGAGCGACCAGCAGGATGAAGAAGCAGGAGAAGGCAACTGAAGAGCCTTCAGGTCCCTGGCCCTTCCTTCACCCACCACCCCCATCATCACCAATTCTTCCTTGCCACAATCACTAAATATCTAGTGCTAAACCTATCTGTATTGGCAGCACAGCTACTCAGATCTGCTCTCCTGCCCCTTGGGAAGCAGTTTCAGATAAATCTTCATGGGCATTGCTGGAATGATGGTTGCTTTGAGCCCACAGGAGCTCCCTTTTCGAATGTGCAGACAAGTGCGTTCTGAATGAGGCATTTTGATGCCTGTTGATCTATGTGAAATCCAGGAGAGAGCAATGGGGAAGTTTAGAAAGGAGAATTAGCCAACACAGGCTACAATTGATATTTAAATGATCCATTTAAAACAAGCTGATAGTGTTTTGTTAAGCAGTACATCTTGTGCATGCAAAAATGAATTCACCCCTCCCACCCCTTTCTTCAGCTAATGGGAAACTGTTAAGGGAAGCTGACACAAAGAGGCCACTTGCTCCTTTCCGTCAGCTTTCTAACAAACTTCAACGTGAGGTTTCAGTAGCGCCTTGTTTTGCCTCTTTAAATTATGACGTGCACAAACCTTCTTTTCAATGCAATGCATCTAAAGTTTTGATACCTGTAACTTTTTCTTTTTTTGGTTGCGATGGTTTAAGAATCATGGATTTATTTTTTGTAACTTTTTGGCTATTGTCCTTGTGTATCCTGACAGCACCGTGTGTGTCAGCCCACGTCAATCAAGATGGGTGATTATGAAATGCCAGACTTCTAAATTAAATGTTTTGGAATTCAGTGGGTAAATAAATGCTGCTTTGGGGATATTATTTCTGTGTTTGTGGTCTTGATTTTTTGCCCTTTCAAGGAGCTATTTAACAGGTCACCATTTTGAATCCTGATTTGAGTCTCACAAACATCAAAGCATTTGGTACAGTAAGTTTTCAGGCCCTGTAATTCATCTCACACTTTGCGATTCACAAGACTCGTGACTGTTAAGTAGTTTTCTGTGGACCCAGTTGACAAAGCCTTTCTGATTCACTCTTCCTGATAACTGGTAGCTTGTATAGGAGCTGAGCAGACCAAAATGCTGTCTTCCACAGTACAGCACCTCTGTGAAAGGTCAGGGCTGTGTTTAACTTGGAAGGGTGTTGTCGACCCACCCTACTGGAATGTTGGTTGATATTTAACGCTCAAGGTACATACCGAGCTGAGACATATCCTCAAATTTTCTTAATATTCTTTCTGTATTAGATGGGATAAAATGTGAATTAGGGGCACAACCTGGATCCCTGAAATCCGTAGTTGTTATTATTAAGGAAGCTTTGTGTATTCTTTAAAATAGAAGAACTTCCATCTGAGTTTAAATAAGAAAAAAGCCTAACCCCTTAAGCACTCTTCCCGTCTACTTCTATCACTCAAGGCTTCTCTTGAGGCTCAGTAGCACCAGTTGGCCTCTTCCTCAGGTGATAGGGACTCCAGCCCCTCACCGTTTTTATTACCTCCAGCGTGGTTCCCAGAACCGAACATGCTTGTTAAGAGGATTGGTTCAGTTACACAGAGGCCTTAAAAACCATATTCTTGACTAAAGCTTGACAGTGAACTGGTGAAAATGGCCTGACCCAATTTCTGTCCTTGAACTTACATTGTGGTGGGGCAAGGAACTTCCAAGCATGGAAGTGTAACCTATTTTCTTGTTCAGCAGAGGTGTGGCCCACATGTTAATAAACACACCTTAGGAGGCCTGTTTCAAGTTGGCCTAATTGCTAGCTAAAATGGTTATTGAGTTTCACCTCAATTAGTGGGTCAGGTATTTTCAAGCTACAAACTTTATGTGGCCAAGACACTTGGCTTTGATACACATATGTAGGCATGAAAACTTGTTACATTTGAAATGTCCTTCACTGGAAGGGCTTTAGGAAAATCACTCGCATTTTCATCTTACAACCATCTTGTGAAAGGTTTTGTCACCACCTTAGAGATGAGGAAGCTGACGTGTAGAGCTGAAATTCGCACAGCTGGCGAGCCACAGAGGACGGCCTCCGCCCAAGACTTACGATTGAGATCTCCAACTGCCCTCTGGTGGGCTCTAGCGCTGCCATGCTGCAAAGGCTCCGGGCAGCCTTGACTAGCCACACAAACTTTTAAGGCTCAGGACCCTCATTTTTTAAGTGTAGAATTTGAAATATAAGCTTTGTCAACTCAAAGTACTCAGTGTGTAGGGCATCCTCTGGTCTGGGAATGGAGTGTGGGCAAGTGTGGACACACACAATTACAATTAGCCCCAGTGACAAATGGAGTTCTTTGAGAAGACCTACAAATTACATGCGACATAAACCTGAAAGGCTTCTCTGCTGCACAATCTCAAAGATTTCCTTCCAGTTCTGCACACTTTTGTGTTTTGAAACTTGTCAAGACAAATTTATAAAGTAAGATGGGGTCATCTCAGTGTTAACTGCAGAGGAAACTAAAGTCCAGAGAAATGAAATGTCTTTCCAGAGTCACACTGCAAAATTAGGGACAGAACTTAGACTAGCATTCAGATCCCCTAAATCTTTGATCGTGGTTCTTTTCTGTGTGCCACACTCTTGGGATTGAGATGAAAACATGGATGTCACACATTACATGTGTCCCCATTTGGGGGACACTTTCCAGTGCTTTTAATGTTTTCACTTAGAGTTGAAGGAATTATATTTAGAAAGGGATGTGTAAATTTATTGGTGCTATTGCTTCAAATTTTCGATTAACTCCTCAAACGCTTTTCAAAAGTCTATTTGTTTGAATTAGGGGGAAGGGTAGAATTCTTGATAATGGAACCATTGTTGGGTAAATACTTGGCCATCTTAAATCACTTGCGACTGGGGAGCCCAGGATGCCTCTCTGCTCTGTAAAATAAACTAGGCTGCGTTCCGACTGTCAGGCCCTCCACACCCTCCTCTGCTTCCCATTCAGAGACTAACAGGGTCCTCAGTTCTCAGGAGACCCTGCAACTCTCAGGCAGGCACAGAATGATTCACAGCTCTGTGGGACTTAACAGATCATCTTCCATTATAAAACCCAGTTATCATGTTGGTGAAAACAATTTCAAATGTCTACTGTGTCCTGGGCACTTTGTGTGCATGGCCTCTGAATCTTTACAGTGACCCTGGAAGGTAGGAATGATGATCTTTTTAACAGGTGGGGAAATCAGGCATCAGGTGGGATGAATCAGGTGGTATGAGGTGTATGGCTAGTAAGAGGTAAAGCCGAGATAAAAATTGGGGTGGTCCTACTTCAAGGCTCTTTCCACAACACCATGTTGTTTTTTGATCCCCAGCTGGAGAAAAAGGAGCCCCAGAAAAGTTATGACAGTAGCCTTCTGTCTCTTTGGTCTCTCCCCTTTCTTCTCCGATCTGACATCCTATGTAAATCAAATTCTTCCTTCAAGGCCTAACGAAATGCCATCTCTTATGAAACCTCTGATCTGGCTGGAAGCATTCCGCCAGCTGACTTTAGGTCAGTCTTTGCTTTGCTCTCTCCTCCACCTCCACTGGACCATAGGCCCCTGTGGTGCCAAGCAAAACAAGGGCTCCAAAAGGTTGGGTGAGCTAACAGATGAAGGTTCATTTTCCCAAAGTACAACTCCCATGCCATTCTGAGGGTGGAAACTGCCAGGAAGGAGAGGGAAAGTAACATCTGCTAACGGTTAAGTGGAACTTTACACACACTTTAAAATTCAAAGCTAACAATCCTGTGAACGAGGTTGTAGCTCCAATCGGGAGGCTCTGAGAGGTAAAGTGACTTTCGTAAGATCACACAGCAGGGAAGTGGCAGAGCGTGTCTTTGTGCAGGGCTCCAAGGTCCTTGTTCTTTCAGGCAGAGGCTGGAAACCTGACGTTTCAGGTCTTCCTTGATGGGACCTCTCCCTTCCTCACCACCCGGACTTCTCTCAGTTACCTTCTCTACATTTACCTCTTCAGCCAGATCAGTCTTTTTTGCTGCTCCACTCCCAACCCCAGGCATATCCAGGATGTGGATCTTAATGCTTCTCCCCCCTCCTAATCCTGAATTCCTTCTACTGGAAGGGGAGGTACCTGTAGGCGGTACAGCTATGGTATGACTTGCAGTGAACCAGAGCACCACCAGTTGAAATCTCTCCCCAGCTGGACCCTGCTTGCTCTCTCACTTTGGCTCAAGCCGTTACTCTTCCTTCTGGAATGGCTTTCTTCTCTTGGCCTATTCAAATCCTACCTATGAAATGTCACCTCCCCCCGCCAGCTATTGTGAGCCCCTTTCTGGGTTCCTGTACTGTGGGTCTGTACCACACAATGACATTTATCACTCTGTCTTCACTCATTCAACAAACACGTTGAGCTCCTACTGTGTGGTAGACACTGGGCAGGGTGCTGGGGATACCTTGGTGAATTACCTGTCCTCATGGGGCTAATGCTCTAGTGGGGGACAATAAGAATATAAAACAATAAAATAACTATGAAACCGCCTCCCAGGTTCTTCTCTCCAGGGTCTAGCACACAGTTAACAATAAGAATTTGTTTCAATTCATGAATAATTGGTTGATTTGAGGCCAGAATTTTAAAGAAGAAATGACCAAAAGGAATCCTTCATTTCCCAACCCAAATCTACCCATGTGCCATATAAGAAACTGAAGGTCATGAAGCTTCAGGCTTGGTTCTAACTGGCAGTGTGACCTTGAGCAAGTCCTGGCCTCTCAGCAGCCTCTAAAAACAAGGTGGGTGCTTTTGGTGGTCTCTGGGTGTCTTTTCATTTCTATGATTCTGTGATTCTGTGTTATTTTCGACTGTTTTGGGATGGTTCCCATCCTCTTCCTGGCCTTTTTTCCTGCACTCCCCCCCCTTTTCCTTCCGCCCTTCACATTTGTCCCTTCTGCATCCGCCCTCCACCCCCCTTCACTTTCCTGGCCACCCCCTAGTTCCACTGAGATGGTTACCATGGCAATCATCTCCTGGAAGTGACATCACTCATCTCCTAGGCAACTGTTTCCAGGGCAGTGACATCATTCGATCACCACGGCAACCCTCCAGGAGGACAGTTCTGCAGTGAAATGGGCAAATAGAATTCTTATGTATTTCTGGGGGTTGGGGATAATGCAGAGAGAATATGAAAAAAAGAAAAGTATCTCAGGAGCAAGAAGAAAAAGCTTTGGGCTTATAGGGGAAAAGTGGGAAAGCAGAGTGGGGCTGGGAAAGAGCAGAAGCTCCGGGGTGAACCCCTTCTCCTTTCCAATAACTAGGCTGACTATAATATCACCAAATTGGGACACTTGAGAGTGAACGAGGGCACCATTATTACACTGGGATGACAGGTGAAAACTGGGCCTTCTCAAGAAAACCAGGGCGTGTGGCCCCTGCCCATAATCAGGCAGGTGCCTGGCCTCACTCCCTCACCTATAGCTCATCCAACAAGCATTGATTCAGCTCTTTGTGTGTGTGGGCACTGGGGATACCACAGTGAGCAAAACCGGCCTGGGTCCCTGGCCAGATGGTGCTCACAGTCAAGTGTATGGTGGGGCTGAGGGTAATTCCATGGTTACTCAATGAATGCTGCAGTGCACAGCGGGTTCAGTGCCTGGAAGGGAAGATGTGATCCTGTTTGCATTTTAAAATCTCACCCTGGCTGTTGTGTGGGGCAGAGTGGGAGAACAATTTGCCCAGGAGGGAAACTGAGTTGTGACAATGAGACGGAGGGACATGGTGGATATGTTTGGGAGTTAGAGCCAATAGGATTTGCTGAAGGACTAGATACGGGGTGAGGGTAAGGAAGGATGACACTTGGGGTGGCACCAGAGACTTGGGATAGGGCAGTGGCTCTG